CAGATTGGTCAAATATATGCACCAACACTCAAATTTCTGTTACCAACTCAATTGGCAGGAGGGGTGGAGACTCTTTATAAATTCCTTACTAATGAGCAGAGTGACCAGTACACAATCAAGAATATTACCCATGGGAATCGATTTACTTCTGTTATTGTTGAAGTTCCCACCGCCTACAGACAATCATTGACAAGTCCCATCCTAACAATTGAAGGATTTACAATTCAATTTTACGACTGTTTCTCCCTCAGATGTTGTGATTATTGCTCACAACTGGGACACACTGTTAAAAAATGTCGAAATCCCCCGTTGTGTGCCCAATGTGGTCAACGACATGTGACTCAAAGATGTCCCTGTGCTAATAAGGCGAATTGGCTCTGTTTCCGTTGTGGAAACCCAGGCCATTCCGCATATTATTTCAATTGTCCAAATTTTTCAAGAATGTTGATCCAGCAAATAAGAAAGTTTAATTGCAATTATGATAAGATTTTCTTGCCCCGTAGAAACTTGTTCTAGGTGAGTTACATTTTATTGTCTCATATTTTCAATAAATACATTAGTGTATTGATGATTTGTTTTTTCCATTTCATTTTTTAGTTTTTCCAGAAACAAGGGACAGTCAGTGCAGAAGGCCGAGTGGCCCTTTTTTCCGCGACAGTTAGAGCACGACCAGTTCTCTTTGGTAGTAGCTTCACATTTTCCAGGATGTGCGCCCCCACAGTAACCGCACGTGCGCTTGTATTTGCAGTTGTTTATCTTATGGTTCCATTGTGAGCAGTTCAAACATATTATTAGATTAAATTTATCAAAGATCTCCACCTTCTGATAGCCTGTTGTGATTCTACCACCAAACTTCTCAATATCGTTGCGCAGTATTGAGTTTACCACCAGTGTTATCTTGTATTTTCCTTCTTTTAGCGATATTGTCGATCGCCATTTCGCCTCATGTTTATCAGTCCATCGGTTATACCGTCTTAGTTTCTTCACCCATTCTTCAGCATTAAGTTCATTTATCTCAGAGTTAATGTAAATGTTTATCTGAGGATCTCTCAGTTTGGGAACTTCTATGTTCCACTCTTTTTTCTTGTAATCTGTTAGTTCTTTCATTAGTTTCTCACGAGCAGATTCTGATTCTACAATGAGCTTAATCCCAGTTCGTAACGGAATAGTTTTTTCAATGAAAAGATGGTTATTACCCTCTTTTTCGTAGAAGTCAGCGAAAATACGTTTAGTCGTGAAGCCATCAAGCTTTTCATCATTTTCTTTGATTGTGATGTTTAATGACGGTTTTACTGGTAGTTCAGTGACGTCCAGCCAGTTCTTCGGTCGTTTCTTGATGAGAGAGTAACTCAAGAAAACATTCTGTCCTTTATCATCCTTTCTTTCCGTCATCGGATCCGTTTGTTTTCCCATGTCTTTGCTGATTAAGGAGATCTCACTGGTGAGATTACTCTGTTTCAGAAAGAGTGAGATCAGTGACAGATCTTCGTTGTTAATATTACCATTTGGTGTGGTTTCAACAAACATCTGTAGTTTAGTAAGAGTTTCTTTGATCATCATCTCGTCCAATGTCCTAGACCATTCATTGAAGATCTTGTCCTCAGGAACCTCAAGTCTTCGAAGTGATGATAGTAGTTGTTCTACCGTCATACCCTGTAATGCAAGATGTAGTATCCCATTATTACTTGTAAATCAATAGACAAGACTAATGTCCCTTTTGTAAATTGTATCATGTATAATTAACAGAGAGTCTTACTTCCTCATCTTCCATTTCACTGTCATAAGTTATATTAGGTTTTTTCGCGACCGGGCCCGATGAAAGGAGCTTGTTCAGCTCATTAGATCGTTTTTTTGGTCTCTTCGGTGATGTTTTTCGTGCTTCCATTATCCAAGAGATGCTTATGAGCAATATCAACAATACCTAGTTGGGTTGAATTTCTATTACATTTAGTCAATTATTGATTGTTGTTCTGCCAATGAATAGTAAATTGTGTACGTTTTGATAAGCAAGTTTTCTTTGGCAATCATGTAATCATCATTCGCTCCTTGCACAGCACAAGATGAAGAGTACAATGCAAGGTTGACAAAACTGAGTACAGATTATGATATGATTATAAAATAATTTGGTAAGACTTCGGATTAGGTCCGCACGTTTAGAGACCTGAAATTTTTTGTACATATAGCTCATGTCAAACTACATATTATGTGCGAGTTTGTATATGCGGAAAGATCTAGTTCCTGAGATACAGGGCTTCAAAGTTGGATTTTGCCATAGAGCTCTATGGGTAAAAATGAAGTTTTCCTGTATACATACTAATGCTTTTTACCTCTTGATTTTTGTATATGTTATACCTTATGGTATGATGTATTATCATGAAAAAAATTAAGACTCTAGCTATCACGGGTGATTACTTATAGTGTGTTCTTTATGAGACTTTATTCGTCTTTTACTATAATTAATGAACCACTGCATATAGAAGTACTCCCCTTGGTTGAACATCAAGTCAAGGTCACACAATAATGTCAAGGTCATCTCAAGGTCAAATTATGGTGAGTAGTCTATGATGTTTTTCGCTGGTAGAGATATGTATAATACGCTCGCTGTAGACCAGAATGATGTGTTTGGAGTATATACAAACTGGTATACGATAGATAATAAAATACAAATAGAAGTGATGCAGCCATGCGCAATCAGGTCTATGATTCATCAACCTTTCAGTAGATTCACGGAATCAGCAAAGAATATAATTTTTGATTTTCCGCTCCAAGTGGGTGTGGCTGCTAGCGGCCACACCCACTTGGGGGCGGGAGGGGTCAAAAAAATTTTCGCCGCGCCGTTTAAGTGCAGAGATGTTTAAGTGGTACTATCAAGCAATCTGTATAGCATATGATAAATATCACCATAGCTCTTTTATCTAGCTAGTACTATAAGGCGAAAGAGCTGAGTTTCTAACTGAACAGGTGTTGTTCACCTGGTGGCTGGAACTCCGTTACCAAAGAATGGTGAGCAGTTTAAGTTTTTATTTCCCGTATCCTCCTAAATCATGTACTCTGATCTTAAAGGCTACAATGATAACGATAAAAATTTGCATATACAACACATATACAGCATTGTCAGTTCAGTACGTTCTGGCGGTGTATAAATGCACCGATTATGTGTGATTCAATAGGTTATTTTATTACAAAACTACTTGCGAAAGTAAATGCAAATAGACTGTTTAATGACCTTGAGATGACTTTGACATTATTGTGTGACCTTGACTTGATGTTCAACCAAGGGGAGTACTTCTATATGCAGTGGTTCATTAATTATAGTAAAAGACGAATAAAGTCTCATAAAGAACACACTATAAGTAATCACCCGTGATAGCTAGAGTCTTAATTTTTTTCATGATAATACATCATACCATAAGGTATAACATATACAAAAATCAAGAGGTAAAAAGCATTAGTATGTATACAGGAAAACTTCATTTTTACAAATAGAGCTCTATGGCAAAATCCAACTTTGAAGCCCTGTATCTCAGGAACTAGATCTTTCCGCATATACAAACTCGCACATAATATCTAGTTTGACATGAGCTATATGTACAAAAAATTTCAGGTCTCTAAACGTGCGGACCTAATCCGAAGTCCAGCCAATAATTTCAATGATAAAGTTAATTGTGTTTATGTTAATTAATTAAACAAGAGTTTCTAAGTCCTCTTGTCAATCAAAACTAAAGATAACAGCAAACATTAACAATTAAGGAGATGATGAGAAATGAAAGGTAGCAATTAAAATGGAAAGGTATTTCACAATTAACTGATTATTAATCACAATTAAAATGACATTTCTACGGAGTACAAAAGTCGCAGTGATAGCATTTAAATCAAACATCAATATATCAATTAACGATCTGTGAGAGTGAAAACATTCAATTAGAGTAAACCTATCAATCGGTAAATACAAGAATTGATATAAATTAAATGTCAATTTTTCTTCTGAAATCTAATTTTCGATCACAGTCCACTCTTCGAGCCAATTCAGAGCAATTAAAAGGGCGACAATCCGTCATCAATTCACCCGTTGTTTCATAATTAAGGGCAAATTGATAACTATCTAAATGCTGTTTACAATTGACTGCAATCAGATGATAACGATTGACTTGAAACGGGAAGTAATTAAATTAGCAGAAAGCACTATTCTTACTCTTGAAATCTAATCTAATCACAACTAACTCTGCGAGCCTAGTTATCAACATGAAAATCCAATCAACAATAAAATACAACCTGAGTGGATTGTATCCAAACAGTATAGACTTCAACCATTGTATAGTTTTTCCAACCAACAATCAATATTGACAACCAGCGATTAACTGGATTCAGAGTAAATGAAGGTTGATGAATCTCAATATTAATCAATTTGTTGTCGTTTCATAATTAACTGTGAAAGATCAACTCATATCAATAACTTGCATTTTAACAACAATCATAAATTAAATTATAATCAATGACCTTTGATGATTTAAAGCTACATAATTAAGGGCAATGACAATTATCTAAATGTTGATTACAATTTAACTGTAATCAAATGATAGCGATTAACTTGAAACGGGAAACAATTAAATTATCAGAAATCACAATTAACTGACTAATGAGGAGAGATCGGTTTGTTTCTTTTTCTAACTAATCTGATTAACCAACAGATCCAACATTTCTAATGATAACAATTTAATCACAATCATTTTTAATGACAATAATATCAAACAACAATTAAGAGCTATAAAGATTTTAATTGCTTTAGTAGATTAATTGGTTGTAGGGTTAAAGGATTAATACATTCAAGCATAGTTTACCTGTAATTTTAGTTGTGTCAGTGTCAAGGGTAACAGTCAGTTTTGATTGATTCCGGATCAACACGATATAACTCGATACACTTAGTTAAGAATTTTTGTTCTTCACTCGAAAAAGTTCAAAAAGTCATTTGTTGTTCATTCAAAAGAAAGAGACTTAGACAGGTTATTTAGGCTCGGGAACTATATGACCAGAGATTTCTGGTCGAATAGGCTGTTCCGTGATAAGAAAGTTTGTTCCTCGGGGCGAGGCTTAAAATGCGTTTGGTACAAGCGCTTGATTTAAAAAATTGTGAGCCTGATGGACATGAAGCTGTCGCCTACAAATCTCTCATGCAGGAAGTAAATACAGTAAACTACCAGATAATGAGACTACCAGATAATGAGACAAATTTTTTCAACGGTCCCTAATCACGACTTTTCTCTTTCTTTTTTCTCTTTCTTTTCCGTTGTCATCACAATTACGACAACGTCGTCACGGCAATGGACACTTCGTAAGAATAGCTTATTTACACAGCAGTCTCATTATCTGGTAGTTTACTGTATGTTACCATTTATTTCACTGTATCATGGAACCGTTACCGTCAAGGGGTGTTCTATTATCGGCATTAGCAATCAACTGTATTCCTTTGACAACCCATTTCTTACGGACATTAAAATGGGATCAAGAACTTTCCTTGAAGACGAGGTTTCAAATGGTGAACCGAGTAAAGATCTGTACAAGAAGATGATTAAATTGGATCCTAACTCGTTATCATCAGAGGAAAAGTCAAAAGGGACAATAACCAAGTTAAAATATATGCAACTAAGGGAGCAATTAAGTTTCACATCAACTCTCGGATTCCGTATTGAAGGATTCAAGGTGAGCAATTAAAAAAGAAAAAAATAACTTTGTTTTTGAATAATAATTTTATCTCTCTCTCATCTTCAATTGAGCAGACAGAATCAAGACAAGCTACTAACAAAGAATTATTCTCAGTGAGAACTCGTGATGAGGTGAAAACCGTTTTCCAAGAATTTCTTCCTACTCGGCGGGACCAGTTAGATGCTCTTATTGGTCGTCTTCAATCTATGCAAAGGGAATTACAAAAATCAGTCTTTTTCTCGACCCATGAGATGATCGGTAGCTCTTTACTTATTGTCTATGATAAATCTAATGTTGGTGTTTGGATGATGGATTTTGCTAAAACACGGCCTTTACCGAAAGGTGTCACCATTGATCATGTTTCGCCTTGGATAGTTGGAAATCATGAAGATGGTTATCTAACTGGATTGCAAAATTTGATCGATATTTTGAAAGAAAACCAAGAGAAAGTAAATGACCCACAAAGATCGCATTCAATTTGACCTTTCAATTACACTGCGTTGCAAAGCATTAAGACCAACCGTTAATTTTGATAAAGTCAACTATTCTCTTCAATCCTTTGAAGAAAATAAATTTATTGTTATAAAACCATAAGAAATTATCATAATAATAATAATTAATTTGTAAAAAGTCGAAAAAATCAGAAAAAAGAAATTGATATACAGAGCATTTCACCAAGTTTCCAACAAGTTTTTCTAGAATAACTTTTTTGTTTTTGAGTGTTGAGACCCCATACTCGAGTTATGGTAGTTTGGGCCATACTCAATTATCATATTAAAGTCCTATATTAAGGTATATTAGGTCCTTTCGGTCATTTGGTGGTCACAATCGAATTCAATAGTAAATATGTTACCATTTATTTCACTGTATCATGGAACCGTTACCGTCAAGGGATGTTCTATTATCGGCATCAGCAATCAATGACCACCAAATGACCTTTGAGTCGTATCCTAACATAATGACCGAAAGGACCTAATATACCTTAATATAGGACTTTAATATGACAATTGAGTATGGCCCAAACTACCATAACTCGAGTATGGGGTATCAACACTCAAAAACAAAAAAGTTATTCGAGAAAAACTTGTTGGAAACTTGATGAAATGCCCTGTATTTTACTTGTTCACATAAGGGACAGATTAAAATTAGCGTCTATTCAGCGCTAATCGTTGTTTCTTTTCGTCCATATGACTAGCAAAAAAACACAAATTATCATTGCTTCTGTCTAAATCATATGGTCTTGATAAAATGCATCATAGTGTATCTTTTAAACTTTTAAACTTTTTAACGATTTTTTTCATTCAATTTTCGTGAAAGTTTCGAACAAATCAGCGAGTTCAAACTTGAATATCATATTCTGTTCAATAGTATTAATTTATTGTTTATCCGAAGCTATTTAAAAATGCTACAATTTTCAGCAACTTCGGGTGCTCGTCTCTTGGCGATCCATGGAACTAATTTACTAACCAAGGAAAGATGAACAAGGTGTAAACAAACGACCAAAAATTAAACATTGAGACGACAATTAACTATTGATACAACCATTAACATCCAATATTGATGATAGATTTACATCTCAACAGGAACGTCTATTATTATTTATTGTTTAGTAAATTCTAAAGAAATGTATCCACTTAATTTCATTTTTTCGAGAAAATTTGAAACTTTTGAGATTTACCATTGTGATTCAATGGTAAAAAATCATTTTCATCGATTTTCACGTAGTAACAACATTGGTAAGAATCTAACTAACTAGTTAAAGGTTTACCTGTTTTCTTTTTAAACTTGAGCCCAACAAAAAAGAAATGAGAACGGATAAGACCAGTCAACTTGACCAGTGGAGATAAAGACTTGACCATTTCTCTTATTCTCTTAAAAAACACAAAGAATCGAGAAAGTGTTTACATTTAACTTGAATGTTGTTGAGGTTTTCTAGTTGGTCTGGAAAGAGAAAAAGAGGATTAATTGAACTAATCGATAATAAGACATGAAAAATGTCTTCGTCAAGATAAGAGAGATGAAATTTTCTTTTCCCATTTAACAAGCTCTTTCCTTCCCATATTGTTACTGAAAATCTGATTACTATCTAAGAGTAAATGGATATTGTTCAATAATTCAACGGCTCTTGGGAAGGAGGTTAATTGGTCAAATTGAATAAAGATCATTTCTCTTTCCTTACTTTTGTCCGGTAATAAAACTTTTCCTTTTTTCATTAATTGCGACGAACAGATTGAGAAAATCACCACCAGGAGTCTCTAGTGAGGAAACAACGTGTTCCAAACATGTGATTGTTTACTTTTTTAAAAAAGTTTTTTTATCTTTTCAATGAATAGTTTTCATTAATTTTATTTTTCACTTGGTTTAATTGTCACCATTAACAATGAGTTGGTTAACCAATATCAAACAAATATCTTTGGAAGATACGATATTCGACAGCAAATTTCACCCAAGCAAACCCAACATTTTTGTCTGTGTCACTGTTTCTGGTGATCTTTTCATGTAAGTCACCTTCTATTGTTAAACAATACAATTTATCTTATCTTCATTTTCGGGTAATATTAAGTTTCATTACCAGCTCCCATTTATACATATGATTGATACACCTCTCGATGACCATAAAATTACAGTTTAATGGCAAACGTTACAATTTCAATTCCATTGTAATATAATAACGATCAACGTAAAATTATAAAATCAACACAATTAAATTCATCATCTTCATCGTCTTCAATTTCATCGACAATAGTTATTCCTAAGATTAAAGTCACCAATGGTCCAATGGTTCCAAATTAAAGAATCGAGATTCTCTATCTCTCTCAGTTTTTGTTTTGCTCTATCACTAAGCAAATCTGTCGCTGTGATTTGTTTTGAACGATATGATCTGCTGATTTGTTCGGCCAATAAACGGTATTTATTTGGTGGTGTTGTGTAGGATAATTGGCAGTACAATCTTTCCTGGTACTCGACTCTCTTAACAGTTGATGCAAGGGTTGCAGGCGATTTAATGAAACTTTCACGTCTTAAAGACCGTCGATGTTTTTCTTGAGGTTTATCGTCTACGTCAGTCCAACAACTATCAACAGGATTAAGTCCACCACTTGACTTTTTATAACCTCCGTCAGAATTTGTCAAGGTAGATCCATTGGCGATCTGTGGACTTACACGAATCTCTGAAATGTTTTGCTGAATTTTGGAATCACTTTGCTTTTTTCGCTGCATCGATATCTTTTTTAATGCTTTCGGCAACAGTCACCTTCTCAGCAGTTTTTCAACAGAAACAGCCAATTGCTGACGTAAAGATGTCAGAGTAGAAACGTCATTTTCGGAAGAACAAATAGAAACACTTTCAACAACAATATCTTGACTAACAGCCATCAATTCCATTGAGTAGTCATTCTGAGTGAAAAGAGCTTTTTTCAAATTTTCTCGCTCGATTTTTTACCATTTTTTTAATAAGCCTTTGCTTAAAAGGTGTTTTTCTGGTCTTTTTATTATTTGTATTTCCTCCAAGAATTTGATAAGGTGAAGCGCCACTTCGAGTTAATTTTCTAAACTCAGTTTCTCGTAGAGAATAATATTTTCTTGTTTTGGAAGAAACTGGAGTTTGATAGTTTGATGACAATTCAAGGATCAAATCAATCTTTATTTCCATGTTGTTTACAAATTCAATTGGTGATAAATATAAATGAATTGACCCGCAGAGAGAAAGATGGAAATTTAAAGAATATGATGAGCAACTTGAATGATGGATAAAAAGATGATGGAATCGCCAATCAAACCCAGTAAATCTTCAACAATTAACACATAACCTGAGAGAGAGAGATCGTAAAAAATAGAAAACAAGTTAATAATCATTGAAAATTATGGATTAGCAGAAGAGAGAAAAACAACAACTTTGATTAAAAGACAAACACTGTGTTTGAAACACATAAAACACAGTGTGAGGAACATTTAAAATTTTTTCTCAATATTTGCTTTTCTTTTCAACAGATGGCGTTACTTTCGTTTTTCGATCAGATGTTTTGTCCAAATGATTTAATTCCGAACAATTTATTTAATTTGATTGATTGTCAATCATAATCAATTTGTCCCGGTGGTTTAATCACTGTTACTTTATTGTGCTGAGCAGTTTCTACTGGTGATCTATTACTTACTTGTTTATTCATGTATCTCCTCATCAAGTGACATCTCTCATTGACAATCAGATGTGTTTTCAGCCTTTGGTGTGACTTTGATCATCTTAATTGTTACAATTTTAGTTTTTTGCGTCATCAAACTACTAAATTTAAAAAATAACATTGGGTTAGAAAATTTATCTTCATTCACTATTTTCATGAATAAAAGTGAAAAAACTGTCAATTCAATAATCAGTCCACCTCGAGTTCAAAATGCCTCTTACCCAGAACTCAATTTATCAATATTTCATTTCCCACCTCCCACCCTGAGCCAATCAATTTTCGCTTCGTGCGTCATGATTAGCGTGTTGACTGTTGATATGAGAGGCAAGTTTAAAGTTGTTTGTACTTCTTTTTTCACAAATTGGACAGATTGAAACGTAGTGAATGCTGAATAAATGATTTTCTAAATTTTGATTGCTGGCAAAGCTTTTACTACACTTGTGTTGCTGATCATAAATGCAAGTGTATTTATTGCCCTCTTTACATTTGTATCGGAGCAAAAATGAAGTAATTTCAACAATAGAAACCTTTTCGCTGGATCTTTTATCGATATAGATAAATTTCCACTTTTCAAATTTGTTTCTCAACCGTTCCATTTCACTTGAATCGAGTTCTTCAGAAACTGATGAGTTTTGGCACATTGACACATCAACATCACCGCTTTGACTTTGGTCGCCTGTCCATGCATCTGAGCTTTTTTCTTCTTCCCGCTCAGACGTTTCGTCAAGAACAGGGTCAAAAACAAGATCAGATACTGTGTTGATGTTTACACATTGAGTTGATTGATTGCCATGTGGATCTTTGAGCTTCTTTTCATTGATGTCTGGAGTATCGGAGTAGTTATTACTCTTTGCTTTAATTTCTTGAAGATCGCAAATTATGTCTGCTATGTCTTCGCAAAGTGAATAGCTTTTATTCAACTTTTTTTCGCAGTTAAAGTTTACTTTCATTGTGTTTTTCACGATTCTTGAAAGGCAGCTTTCGAAAACATCACCACCTTCTTTAAGATTTTTGATATTCGAACCAAGAAAGCTGTAAAAAGGATCAGCTTGTCGGTGCATTCGATCTAGTGCATCATTGACACCTTCCCTTTTCAATTCAAGTTCTTCCAGATTTGTGTTTGGCACTTGAGAATTCATCTTATTAGAATCTACAGAACTTTGTTCCAATTCTGCTTTTTTTCTCAGCAAGTTTCTTATTTGCGTCTTGTAATTTGCAAGTTGTGAGAGGCTTTGCTGGATTTTGTATTCTCTCTTTAATTTTTATCTCCTCAGCCACAATACTTTTCTGAATCTCTACCACTTTCCTTGAAAGGCAATCATAAAGTTCAGTTAATAAATTCTTTTTAAAACAGCTCTCACTTGCCGATTCGCCAATATCGTTTTCTTCCATTGAAATTTCTCCAGCCAATAAAGGAAGTTAATTCCTCTCTTTTATATCTTCATCCATAATTTCCTTGAGACTTGAGAGATCACTGATTTGATCCATAAACTGAGATACCAGAGTTTTTTGGGAATCGACAACACGCTGAAGTAATAATCGCAAAAGCTTCCAGTTTAATTTTAATTTGAAACAACTTTTCGAAACCTTTTCATCCATGAGTTGCTGCTGGTGAACAACCGAAGACTGATACTTAGAGATCTTCTTCATTTCTTCAGACGGACGAATCATTATTTTCTCCAAATCAGAGATTAATTTTTTTTCTCAGCTTCCAAAGTTGCGAGAGTTTTGCTTCTATAATGCAATTCATTCTTTAATTGATTAGCTATGGCCTCCGAGGTTGCCTCGCGGATCAATTGTTCATCTGGGGAGGGTGGAAAGCCAAAAAAATAATTTTCATTACTTTTTCCCTTTCTTTTCAGGGGGTTGACCACTCCAATTAAAGCTCATACTGTTTCCTGTCGATTCTCGATAACTTGATGATATTGATGAAATGTTTAAGGTGTTGACAAAATTATCATTACTATTGAGAGTTGACAATGGTAGTGAAAACTGATTTTGTCAATTTACTGGTAAACTGAAGACCTTTACCACTTTTGTAATGTTAATTCAGCTAAAGGTAAATTTCAAGTTCCAAATTCTTAAGATTTGATACCATACGAGGCGTTTAAAATGAGAAAAGAAACACAATTTTCTGAAACTATTGACAATTGATCACTTTTAACTTCACTTGAAAAAAATTCTCAGTAAGAATCTCGGTTAAGCCTAAATAGCCAGAAATGGGATCAAGTCTTAATGAATTGAGTCCAATGTTAATTCAGTTAAAGGCAAATTTTAAGATCGAAATCCAGAAGCATTGATACCACATGAGATATTTTCACATGAAAAAGAAAACTGAATTTCTTTGAAACGATTGTTAATTTGTTCACTAGTATTTCTTTTTTGCTAATTAATTGATCACTTTTCTTTAATTAAATAATAATACACTAATTAGAGTTGAAAACTGATTAAACTTTTCTCTCTGGTTATTTAGGTTTTATTGTGTATCCAGGTTACAGGAGTTGTATAACAACTGAGTGTGCTTGGTTTCACACCCACCATGAGGTCATTATACCACCTCATTTACAGGATAACCTTTAAAAAGTTTCATTTTTTCAGTTTCTTCAATTATCAGTACATGTTCAATAATTGTTATAAGTTTCTTGTCAATTAGGATATGGTCCAACTGTATTCTCCATAGAGCTACTTCATCGTTATCATCATGGCGTCCAAGTTGGTATTTGTTTGGGTTTCATGTAAGAGGATCAATTGACCGATTTAAACCAATGAGATACCAAATTAAATTGAATCATTCAGATGCTAAGATTGTAGAGAAAAATAAGAAAATTCATTAAAATTCATGATATAGAGAAGAGAGAAAGAGAGAGAAAAGAGAAGAAGAGATGAAACAAAAGAGAAAGAGATAGAGAAAGAAAGTGATTTTCAAGTTTTTGAATTTTCGTTTTTTAAGAGCGTTTTTGATTGTCGTTTTTGAGTGGCGTTTTTGAGTGGCGTTTGTTTCACTTTATGTGTCACTTATAACTATCACATGGAAAGAAAATGAAAACAGGATAAAACCATAACAAACCAAAAAAAAAAAAAAGGCTCGGGGACTATAAGACCAGAGATTTCTGGTCGAATAGGCTGCTCCCAAAGTGAAAGGTGAAGAAATCACATTTACAAATTGAAGAGAAAAAATTAACGCGCCAAATACAATTTCTTATCTTAGGAATTTTTTTCGCAATTAACGTAATTACTTCTTAATTTGAAACAATCAGTGACTCATTTGTAATAGAAAACCAATGAACAATTTAGATTACATGTAATAATTAATAATTTGAATACAATGAAGATCTAATCAGTTGATAAATTGGTGAAAACAATGTTAACTTAATAGTTGATACGAAATCAATTTAATCAATTGAAGGTAGTTAATTGCTACTAGAATTTATTAAAGATCATAATTGATTGCGGTGGGTGGATTTAGTAGACTGTCTTTTCAATGATTAAACTAATTTGATTTGAGTAAAAGTAAAATGTAAATATAAGATTCAAATTATTGATCAAGTTGGTTAATTGTTATTTTCTTGTGCCAACAAAATGTTAACTATTAAAAGTGAATTTATTTTAATTGTTTTAACAATTTGTTTTCATTTTTTGCATCAAGTTAATTGTGATTGTCCAGATAAAGGTAATCAAAGTAAAATTATTCCAAATATAAAATCTCTTATTAATGGTAAATCATCTTACCGATTGCGAGTGGAAATAATTAATTCTGATTATGTTTCCATTGAGATTGATGAGTATTACAATTTAATTGAACAATCAGGTTGGTTTAATTGTTATTATTCAACAGCAATTAAAGATGCAAATGTTGTGAAAGTTAATTATTATCAAAAGACAAAGGAAATATTTACAATTACCAATGAAAATTGTGTAACCCAAACTCTTGACCATGAAACTGGTCAAGCGACAATCAATCAATGGTTTAAATCAGAAAATTTAACTAATCTAATGATTAACGATTATAATCAAATGCTTGGACCTTCATTACTATTTGATTTCATTGAAAGTATTGAAAATGAAAGTAAATTCATTGGAAGTGAAATGATTGATGGTCATTCAACTGACCATTGGTTTTACTGTTTGGACTCGACTAGTGGTCAGTTTATTGAATTTTGGTTCGATTCTAAATCATTTGAACCGTTTCGAGTTTCAATTTATCAATCAGATGAATTAGAACCTTTGATTGTTTATAATTTTATCGAGTTTGAACCTTTAATTGACCTCGAGGCGTTTGTTTATCCCGTTGGATTTGGATGTCAACCGAATGGTCAGTCAATGGACAAAACTTTCCCCTGGAATAAAAATATTGACTCATTTTCTTTACAAATGGAAGCGGTCATTTCATTTGGATCATCGGATAAAACTGAACTGACCAGTATAAAGATAACTAAATATCAGGAAACTTTTTCATTTGAAATAAATGATGAATCAAAAATTAGTAAAATTATTCAAAATGGTCAACACTTTGGACGATATTTAATCAATCAAACAACTGGTCAGTGTACAATTGACGAGATTGACCCAATTGAAATTGACCCGACATTAAATCACAATCACATAACAACTTGGCCTTACCACAATAAAGTAGAGTTTAATTTACTAACTAAGATAATCTTAGAATCGGAAATTAAAGTTAATTACATGGGAGAAATTATCAATTCCAATGGTCAAACAATGGACATTTATGAACAATCAATTAGAAACTTTTTCCTCTACGATTCACCAACAACAATTGACGCAATTGCTAATTACTATTTTCCAGTTCAATCAATTAATCAACAACAACAATCAATCCCGAGTAAAATAATAATCCGACCAATTAACGTTGATAAAATAGTTTCCCATCAACCGATTCCCTCACTAATTGAGATGACAACAATTAACCATTCAGAGGATTTAAATGAGGATCCAATTGATGGTCAGTTTGATGTAAGTAATTGCTACTCTGAGACTGGACGTTACACTTGGTTCCAATTGATTTTATCCGATCTTGATGATATTCCGATTTCAAGTGTGTCAACAATCAGGAGAGCAATTAGTAAATTGTTGGAATCATTTATTCCCAAAATAAGATTACCCGAAATATTGGTAACCATTGACGGAACGGAAGTTTATGTGACCTGTAAATTGTTGGAAAGACCATCGATCAGGTTTAATTATCTTGGCCAAGATTCGTATACAATTAGCAATCCAAGTGTGGTGATTGGTCAAGACAATCTAGATGATTGCGGTCAATTGTGCACCGATGATGTTAATTGTCTTGAATTCTCGTATTGTAAAGATACACGTTGTTTAATTTTCTCACCTTCGAGTCCATCATTATCAGAACTTTCATCGAATCTTAATTGTTCATTATTTCGTAAGAGCATTTTCAATCAGAATGACCTTTACAATCAAGACAATAAAAGGTTCGACTGGTCATCTAATCAATTGTCCAGTTCACGAACTATTTTACATCAATTGAAACGAAAATGTGACGATGGGTTAATTGTTATTCCAGAATTAAATTTATCAGCTGATGATTTATTCATTGTTAATGGTCCCGAAGATGTTGGCTCTTTGGCCACCAAGTATAATGATCTTGAGAGTGATTTAAAAAAGGTCAACAATTATAATCTAATTGGTAAAAATCGGCGACTATCAACTGGATTAACGACAATTAATGATATTAGTTATCAAGAGTGTCTTTTATTATGTGAAAACGATGTTAATTGTTACAGTTTATCATTTTGTTCATCAACTTTATCCGAATGTATCTTATCCTCATCGACGAGTAAGTTAATCACTAATTCACTTAAACAATTAACAAGTTTCGCTGATAATTGTAATCTTTTTGAAAGTAAGTCATTGTTACCATTTAGTGTTAAACTTTACTAATTATTAATTGCTCTCTAATTATTCAGAATCATATTTGTCCTTTTACAATAAATTTCCTGGTACAAGTTTGGTGATCGATTCATTGGAAACCATTGAAAATATTGATTCCGTTAATTGTGCTGATCGTTGTTTACAATTAGATTCAAATTGTCAATCATTTGATTATTGTGATAATAAAAATCAACAGGAATCAAGGTAACGTAATAATTTCATATGATAATAACGATGCTAATTGTCAACAATTAACTATTTCTCTTTCTAGTGATAAATCAATTTGTGTCCTACACTCTTATCATGTTTCAATTAATCAACTAATTAACGGTAATATTTGGGACTTTAGTAAATCAAAATGTGATCATTATGCAAGTAAGTTAATTGTTTGATTTTGGTACTAATTTGAATGATAATTAATAGAAATGATTTAAATTGTTTCTCGTTATTAGAAAGATTATCTCGAGATTATCAACATTTACCTGGAGTTAAATTTGATGATAAAAATGATTTAATTCAAGTGATTAATGAGATTACCGATGTATCAATGGAAAGATGTGCTTCTAATTGTAATCGATCACCAAATGATTGTAAATCATTTGAATTTTGCGAAAATTTTGGACCAAATGATCAACATGATTATCTAACAACTTGCAGATTATCAACTTACAAACCAAGTTCAACAATTAACAATCAAGGAATAGAATCATCAGTTAATCAATGTTCAGTTTATGTTAAGCAAAGATTAACTGATAATCGCAATCAGTTAATTGTGGATAATTATTCAATGGCCATAACCTTAAATGCTTTCTTTTTCATTGGAGCCTTTGTTTGTGGTGTAATTGCTTCAATCTACTATACGAAAAAAAGATGAAAAATTAACAACAATTAACTAATTGTTTCTCTCTTTAAGAAATAAAAATCTCTAGACAAGTTTATCTTTCAATTGATTGGAAAAGGTTGATTGTTAAAAGTGAAATCAATTAACCTTTTTTTTTTGCACAATAAACAAAAGTTAATTAAAATGTTGACTAATCTGATTTGACTGAATCAATTAACAATGATACCAAAAAAAATGTAATTAAATTGTTAACCTTCAATATTTTTAACTTCTTCTTGGGAAACAAAATGTATTTAAGTTTTGCAGATAATTAAGAAATTGATTGTTAAATGAGATAATTACAAAAACCCTTTTGTTCACATTTCTCAAATAATCAGATGATAATCAAATCAAAACAGCAAAGAGATAGTTCAATGGACTTAATTGTTGAGGAGAAAGAGATGTAATTAGTTAATGGTAGTAGTTAGCAGACGTCTTAATTGAATTTTGAGATGTTAATATTAGATTAACATTAGATAATTTAACAATCAATTGATTCTTAATTACCCAGTATGTTAATTCAGTGATTTCAGATTTGTTGTTGTTGTTTTTGTTGCTTTTTTCGTGGAATTAGTTGAATGACGAAATGTGAAGTAACTAAATTGTCTTGAAATTTTTAGAGATATCAAAAGGTTGATTGTGATAAGTGACACTTTTAAATCCCAATATCTGATAGAGAGCAATAAATTATCGATATGAAGCTAGAACGGGAGCAACAGATTCGAAGTCAATTGTTTCGGTTATGTTCTTGGTCTTAATATTTGCTTCTTGATTAGTGATGAAAATTACTCCTGGTTTGACTTCTTTCCATTCACTTTGTTTCATCCATGGTTCAAGTTGAGCATCATTTACATTTAACAGTTTCTTGAGAGTTGGTTTATCAATGTTTTGATAGGTGATACTGATAACGTAGCAAATATCTGAAAGAGAGAGAGAGAAATTGATCAGAGTTAATAATTGAATCAGAAAGATGATCGATTATTTTGTAGGTAAACTTACATTTACGAACTGTATCCGTAAATCCAGTGACATGACTGAACAAATTTGGATTCTTGTCAACGAAACTCTAAGATGGAAAATTTTTCATAAATATTAGATTTTGAGTGGAAAAAAATTTTGAGATTAAAAAGAATCTTTTTTTTCATCGAGAATTGATTTACTAACCCAGAAATCGATGAAGGCGCAAGTTTCCAATGTATGATGAACTCCACAAAGATTTTTGATTGTATCTAATTCCAACTATAGAAAAAGAGAAAATGAGAAAAAAGAAAACATATTGTTACAAACAAAAAGAACATGAAAATATGAATTAGATAGATCTTACATTAGATGGATCAATTAAACACTTGCAAAGGACAAAATCAGTATGTGGCATGTTGGTTAAAGCCTTAATGAGAATATCTTCACAAATATTGGCCTTAAATGATAATGGATTAAACTGGTACAATTTAAGAATGGCAAGATTTGCTTCCAAATCATAGAAATTATCTTTTATCTGAGCATCAACATACTCCTCCAATTGGGCAATATTGTTTGGGTTGTACCTGAAGGTAGAAAGGGAGAAAAAGCAAAGGTAAAAGATGAAAGGAAATCCGAAAATAAGAAAGAATAGAAAACCAATTAAAAGACAAAGGAATAAAATCAACTAATCACTAACACAAACAATTATTAAAACTCTCAAAAAGGTAACACAACAGGAAGAAAAAACCATAAGATTACCTACCTGTTAATACCCTTTAACATGTCAGAGATAATCTCTTTCATCTCATCACTTTGCATTTCCATTTTACTCTTTGACAATTGATTAAACACTAATTGACAAAATTATGACAAAAAAAGAATAAGATAATTGGAAACAATTAAATAACAATCAAACAATTTACAAATTCTAATAAGTGAATGAAACGTGTTGGTCAACCGGCTGAGAGAAAATGAGAAAAGGGACCGTCTCCGAATTACGGCTCGAAAATGAGAGAGTAAAGAAAAAGAGAAATTAATTTAATTAAAAGAGAGAATTAGCTAAACAATTAAGCGATTTAATGGAAAATTAAGAATAAAGTTAATAACTTAAATTTGGAATAAAATAGAGACCAGTAAGAAGAGGTAATCATTTAATTGGAAGGATAAAAAATCGAAAGGAAAAAAGTTTGATAATTAAATTTAACTCCAAGGGGGAAAAAGTTAATTCAATTAATAATAAATTGGTAAAGTGAAAGAATTAACTAAAAGTGTAAACAATTTAATAAACTAAATAGTAAGAAGAATTAAAATCAAAATGGTTGATAAAATTTAAGAAGAAAATTAAACAATTTAAAATAATTTACATATTCTAAGAATCTATTGATTGGAATGAAGCAATTTGTTGATTCCCTTTCAAGTGTTAATTGGAGTTAGTGAGCAGAGGTAATTGAAAAATTGGAATCAAATTAGGATAATAATAAGAATAAAAGAGAAAAAGAGAAAAAAGAAAAGAAAAGGTTAATTCTAACTAAATAATGCTAATAATAAGAAACATTGTTAAGGTAAAATTACAGGTAAAGGTTTCGCCAGGTAAAGAAGCAGCAGATTTGTATTATCATTACTTTCCAGCTTAACTTATAATAGTAATAAACAATTGAATGGGTGAAGAAAAAGGATCAGAGGAGAGATGAAGATGAAGATAAGGATGATAAGAGAATGGAGCACAGAGAGAGAGAGAGAAATGATGATAATGATGAGAGGAAGAAAGAGAGAAAAGGAATCTTACCTTACCAGCACCTCACCCTCTCTCTCTCTCTCAGAGTCCAAACCCACCCCCAGCCACCCCTCGCATCTCCCCAACATCAACACACAGGTAATGGTACAACAAATACCTGTAAAATGTTATTATTATCATTATCATCATCATCATCACCATCACCATCATTATCCAGCATTAATATTATTATGTGTTAGTTTGAAGGTTGAAAACCCGCCTCAATGTGATTAAAATAAACCAATGGTAACTTGTTATCATATTACCTGTTACCACCTACAAATGGTCAAACTAACCAATCAACTAATGTTTACTATGTTGAAAGTTAATATCTTGTATTGGACTGTAGTTGTATTATATTGTTGTGAGTGATTGTTGTGATTATTGTTGTGTTATTGTTAATCACAATTCTAATCACTTACAACAACAACAAGACATACACACACATCATCATAGTTTTTACTTTCCTCTTTCTTTTTTCTGTCTTTTTTTGCAAGAAAAAAAAAGTGTCTCTCTCTCTCTCCTTCCTAAAAACTGACCAGTCTCATCATTCACCTTTTAACTGACCAACACTTTTTTTTTGTTTTCCTCTCTTCATATGTTTCGTTTATTTTGTCAACATTATCTCAATACAAAAAGGATTCTGATTATCTCTCTTAACTGTTTATCTAATAATATTATTATTATTTGATTATTTGATTATATCTTAATGGATTATTGATTAGAAACTTATATTGGAAATTGTCCCAATTGTCTTAATCTCTTTAATCCTCTTCCTCCTCCTCCCGCCGTTAACTTATTTCCTTAATTGTGATTTGTGAATGATGGTGAAGGACCATGGGAAATGACTCAATTCAATTTAATAATTTGTGTCAAATGTTTTTGTGTAATATTGTTGATTATTAATGGATTAACAATGCCTCCAGCAATGGCCTGTGGACCAGGTCGATCAGGTGGACGTCGTCGTTTACCTCGAAAAACAACTCCCCTTGTATTGGAACAACATATTCCCAATGTATCCGAAAACACCCTGTCCGCTTCGGGACCTGGCGAAGGAAAAATAAACATTAAAGATCCAAGGTTTCGAAAATTAGTTCCTAATTACAATCCCGATATCGTCTTCAAAGACGAAGAAGGTACCGGTGTCGATAGGATAATGACCTTGGTAAGAATTTTATTTATTATCAACAAAAAATTGATCGAAATTCAATTTTCTCTATAAACATTTAAATTGTTCATCTCTCTCTATCTCTCTCTCTCTCTCTGATTGTTGATTCAGCGTCTCAAGGAAAAATTAGATACATTGGCCGCTTTGGTTCGTAATCAATGGCCTGGAATTAAATTACGAGTAATTGAAGCCTGGGATGATGCTAATCAATTCAATTATGATTCACTTCATTACGAAGGTCGTGCCGCTGATATAACAACTAGTGACAAGGATAATTCCAAATACGGTGTATTAGCGCGTTTAGCAGTAATCGCTGGATTTGATTGGGTTCTTTATGAATCGAGGCATCATGTTCATGTTTCGGTTAAATCAGGTAAGATTAACAACCTTAATCATTATCATAATCTAACATTAATCATCATTATCACATTTCTAATTTGAGTGTCTGGTAACTTTGTTTTTCGAAGTTGGGAAAAAAAAGAAAACTCATAAATCCCTTTAATCACCTTAAATCATTAACGTTAATCATCGTTATCGTTTATTGTACCCGAATGGTACAATCAATGTTGTTATTTTCTGACCATAAAAACATTTTCTTTTGGCTTGACCAGTACAAAGACAAAGCGAATGTCACTTTTTTTTTGGAAAAATGTTCATTTCTTTTTCAAATTGTTTCTATTATTATATGATTGTTGTAATTTAGTATCATCATTAATAAGATTGATTGATTGATTATATTGATTCTTTGTCTGGAAATCAAATATTACCAATGAGAGAATAGGAAAAGAGAGAGAGAGAGAGAGAGAGAGAGAAAACTTGATAACAATTAAGAAAAAGTTTTTTTTCTTAAATTCTATATGCTAATATTGATAAATATAATCTGATACTAGTTAATCAAATACTAAATCATAATAATAAGTTATATCATTGATTGTTATTAGTTTCCTGTTCTCACATTGATTAACTTTTTACCTTTTTTTTTAATTTGCAAAGGTACAACAATCAACAATCAACAAGAAAAGTACATTAAATTAAATTAAACAAAATCAACAAACAACATCTTCAAATTACACTTTACCGATAATATCATTTTTTTCTTCTTCTTCTTGTTGATTGTTTGTTAATCATAATCACAATCAAGGGAAACATTTACCAAAAGCTTAATAATAAATTAAATATCCATTAGATTTCTCATAGAGTAAGAAAAAAAAAGGTAAAAATATCTTCAATTTCTCATCTCATCATCATGATCGAAAGCGAAAGCGAAAGGTCCAAGTATAATGATGATTATTATGATGATAATAGTAATAATCAACAAACAATTAAAGCTGAATGGTAAATAAAAGTACCAAATAACAACAATCAACAATAATAATAATAAAAAACAACTAAGTTATATACAATTCATTGATTTACATTCAGGTAATAATGATAATCAATGTGAAGTGGACCTTTTATTTGTCTCCAAGAAAAATGAACCAAAAAAATGTTGAGATTTTGTTTGGTGACTGTAAAAATATATTAGGATGAAGGAGATGAGAATGAAGATGATGAGGATGGAAGAGAGAAAGAGAAAACATTTTCTCTCTTTCTTTCTGTTCTCTCCCTCTAAAATAAGGTGAAGGTAAAGGTAAAGGTAGAGAGAGAGAGAGAGAGAGAGCCCACTTTTTTTATTATTATTGACAATTACTTGAGAAAACCGAGTTACAGAAAAAAAAACAAGAAACAGAAAAAGTTAAGAAACAAGTTTTGAGCAACAACGTAAAAGTTAAATAGGAGAGAGAAAGATGATGATGATAATGGTGATGGTGATGATGATGCCGATGAGAGAGAAAGAGGAGTCAGAGAGGGAGAGGAAGGAAGGAAGAAAAGAGAGCAGCCCACTTGAAGAAAACCACACAAGGTGAAAAAAAGATATTGAAAGAAGATGATAGAGAGAGAGAGAGAGAGAGAGAGAGAGAGAGAGATGAAGAAAGGTAAAAAGAGAGCAGCTAGTGTAAGTACAGGGTATCACTCACTAATGGTCGTGATGGGATTACAAGATAGGAGAAAGAAAGAGAAAAGTTATCATCTTTGTTGGGTCTCAATAGGAGACTTAGGGCGAAGATGATGATGATGAAAAGAAAGAGAGAAATGAAAGAGATACTCTTTACTCAACGGGGGTCATAGGTGAGGTATTTACAGGGTGGCCTCTCTTTCATATCCTCTCTTTCTTTTTCTCTTTCTCTCCTTTCAAATTTTCCTCTTCTTCACCCACTAAGCAGCATCTTTGTTATTGATGTTGTTAGTTAGTCAAAGAAAGAGAGACAGAAAAAAAGAAAGAGCAAGAGAGAGAGAGAGAGAGAGAGAGAGAGTAATAAGTATACAGGCTATAATATGAATAAGGATGAAGATGAAGCTTAACACAGATAATCGTTAGCTGTGCAATTTGCGAACCTGAAAAGAAAATAAAATTTTCACCCAGTCGGCCATGTTTTACTTATCTCTCTCTCTCTTCCTCTCCCTTTTTACCTTTCCTTTCTTACCTGCTTGACCATGACAACAACAACAAGAGTATATACCGAGAAGCTAATAATACAAAATAAATACAGGGCTCAACGTAAGTCACTTTTACCTGAGCGCTGTATTTGTTGTTGGTGGCGAAGTGTTTCTTTTCCTTTACCTTTATCTTTGCTCCTTTCATGTCTTACCTTTTCTCGTGGTCATCATGATGATAATTTTTACATTCTTTTTATTTTTATTCTTTCAAAGAATTGAGATAATTTTTTCTTCTTTTTCTTCTTCTTTGAGTTGGTTTAGCTTTCGCTTTGTTGCTCTCACATAATAATAATAATAACAATGATATTGATTATCTCGATGTCCGTTTAATCCCCATATTGATAATGATACCTTTTTGATAGACGAGAGGGAGGGAAAGTTGTTGAATCTTGTGGTTGACAGGTAAACAGTTTTTACTTACCTGGTCATTTGATCATCAATAGTTTTTAATCAATAATTGTTATGGTCAATTTTGTGATAATAAAAGGTTCCCTTTTTTATGTGGTGGTTGTTTAGTTGGGTGGCTTAAGAGGACTGACCACACCGAGAGGTAAAAAGTTGTATACCTTTGGGGAGTAGTTAAGTATTGACCTTTTGAAAACTTGTTGATTCCAATACCTTGGTGGTAATATTATCAACAGGTATTAACAGATCTGTGTAAATGAGAAATGATAATTAGATAATTTAATTGTTAATGGTGAGAAAAGGGGTAGAAACCAAAACAGGGTTGAGTTGATTAAACGATTTGGTTAAAATTAATTGTTTACAATTAAGGATATTATCTTACCGATCCAGTTTTTTTTGTTTGCAACTTTTAAACAATAATGTTAAATGAGGGTTGTGATTTAAAGTTTTTGTGGTTAATTATGATTATGATCATGATGATAGCTAATAATTTCCAGCTCAATGAACTGATAAATGTTAATTAGAGATAATTATTAATTAGTTGGTTTCTGTTTTCTTGTTGAATAATTGAATTTTCTTTTTCTTTTCTTGAAATCGATTCGTTGTTCGATACAGATAAAGCAGCGGCCTCATCGCGTCCTGAAGGTTGTTTCACTGGTGATTCCTTGGTCTACACTCCCAATGGTCCAGTTGCTTTATCGACAATTGATGTTGGTCAACAGATATTAACAGTCAATTCTGATGGAGATATTGTTTTCAGTGAGATTTTATTATTCCTTGATCGTGATCCAAGTGTTGAAAGGATTTATGTTCACCTAACAACTGAAACTGGTAAAGTGATTACATTAACCCAATCACATCTTATATTTACTTATGATCCAATTGTATCATCAAGTGTAACAAGAACTTCTAGTAATCAAATCAACACTACCTCATCTTCATCTTCATCTTTATCTCCATCATCTTACAACTCAACAATACCACCGATTCCATCTCCATCAACCTGGACAGCATCTTCGTCAACCGATCCTAGTGGACAATGGACAGCAATCTTTGCACGTTACATTGAACCAGGAATGTTTGTCTCCACAATACCTGTAAAGAATGAAAAAGAAAAAGAAAATCAACAACAATTAAGTGAAAGTGATTACCATCAACAATTAAATCTAGATGATTACTATTTGAAACCTGAGAAAGTGGTTAAGGTAACCCAAAGCTTAAGAAAAGGTGCTTATGCACCTTTAACTCGTAATGGTAATTTAATTGTTAATCAAATTGTTGCCTCATGTTATGCAGTCGTAAACGATCAATCGTTGGCTCATCTTTCATTTCTACCTGTAAGACTTTACTACAATTTAATAGAATCTTTAAATTATATTAGAAAATGGTTAACACTTCGTTTACCATCATCATCATCATCATCATCAACAACAACATCCATTTTATCATCTTCATCTTCATCTTCATCATTTCCATCAAAAAAGTCATCAAAGTCATCTATTATTTTATCACAACCAAAATTAGAGATCAATCAAGATAATCAACAATTATCTTATAAAGTAAATGATATTAATGATAATAATAGCATTAGATATAAAAAGAAAATTAAATCACAATCTAAATCTAATTGTAATTTAAATTATGGAATACATTGGTATCCTAAATTACTTTATTCAATTGCCAAATATGTAATTAGTAGTGATTATATGTACTCTTAGGAATTAACGAGAACACAAACAAAATTAATCTTCAACATAACGATTATCTCTGTCTCTTTTTTTTTGTAAATTAAAATTAATTAATTTGATCAATTAATTTGTATTGATCATAATTTGTATTTTGTATTAATATTATTTTTAAAACAAAAAAGAAAAACAAATCAATACTTTTTCCCCCTGAAAATTAATATATTCATTCAATTTATCGTTTCTTTTTTTTTCTTGACTTCATTTGATCAACTAATCAAAATTCAATTCATCAATTAATCAACTATCAATTGTAAACAATTTATCAAAAGTATAATATTATTTGATCACTGGATTAACAAGATTTACGAAAGTTGAAACTTTCTATATTCTATTGGATATAATGTAACAAGATACTCAAATAGAGGTAATAACTATGATCGTTAGATTGTAAAAAGATAGGACAATTAAAGTTAAATTTTGATTAGTGATTAGTGAAAGGTCATTCAAATAATTAGACTGATGGTAAATTAAAATGATGGTAGATGAATTAATCAATCAATTTGACGATACAAAAGGCCAACACAATCATGGTTAAAGTAGATTCATAGTTATATAGGTTTGGTCAATCATTTGTTTTTCTCAATGAAATTTTAACTGAATTAAATTTGATTCTTACCGTTTAAATGTTGATACTTTATGTTGGTTAATCAGTTGATTCATCAATTAGCAAAATGTTTCAATATTATTCCTCCTTCCAAGTCATAACCTTTCTCCAAATCAAGGTGCATAAAAGGGGCTATTTTATGGTACCTCCTCGGAAGAGTAACAAGTTACAGGTAATATGATGATCATTTGGAGGTTGTAATATTTTTTTTTCTTTCCTTTCTCTTTCTGCTCTTTCTTTGAGTGTGATGATGATGATGATGATGATGATGATGATGATGGTCGTGAAAACGGAAGAGCTGTGGGTGATTGTTTATAGTTATCGGGGTGGCATGTAAAAGGTAAGAAACACTGATTGTTAACATGTAAACATTTGGATGGGAATAAATTAGCGTTGTCATGGAAAAGGTTGAAAATGCTAATTAAATGGATCCGTTGATTGTTGATTTTTTTTACCAAGTTAAATGTGTAACTCAAATTATCTGTCATGGTTTGATTGTTTTAGAATTGTAACAGAAACTGTATATTATTTGTATTATCGTATTCCCATCCTTTTGGTTGGTAGAAATGTTTCAATTTTTGGCTTTTATCGTCTCGTTCCTTGTAACATGTTACATGTTTGTCACCCAAGGGTATTTGATAAACTAATACTTGATTCCATTGATTGGTTTTCCAAATGATCTTTAGTTAATCTGTAGGGTTTAAGATGACATTGTGTGGGTAATAAGTAAGTCTTGTGGAAATTGTCATTTTTGTTACAAGTAAATTATTTGTCTTTTGTTTTTGTTTTGTTTGACTCAAATACTTTTTTGTTTCTTCCTTTTTGTAGTCAAAGGTTTACCTTGAATTCAGGAAGAAGTATTGAAGAATTGATGTTGAATGTTGTCTTAACTTGGGTGTAACGTTCTAAAGCTCTATGTTGATTATTACTAACTTTTTGTAAAGGTATTTCTTCAGGTATAGATGCTTGTTTTAGTCTTATTTTTTCCTCTTCTTTTTCTTTCTTTTTGCTTTCTTCTTCATCGGCTATCATGGTGGGATTAACACCCCAACCAGATTTTTATCACTTTAAGACTTTGAGCGTAAATAGTCATCAACTGGGGGAAACTGTCATCATCATCATCAGGCTAAACAAGTAATTTATGATGTATTTCATGGCCAATATTCATTAGTCTGGGTTGGCAATGGTGTGGTGGGTGTGTAAGCCGTAGAGTTCATTGTAATTGGCTAGGCCATCAAAAGAAGAAAAGAGAAAGAAAAAAAAAGCAAATGAGTCCTTGGGCTTTACTTGGTTTAGTTATAAATCTGTTGTATCAGCAAATCTCCATAAGGTGTCCACCATCAATGTAACTTTCCAATTCCCATTTGAGTGAATGGCTGTAAGTTGATGATGCCTTTTTGCTATCCAGTTTGTAACATGTAGTTAGTTTAGCTATAGGAGGTGGAAAAGGGAAGAGAATTAGAAAAAAAAGAGAAAGAGAGAGTGAGAGAGTGAGAAGAGTAACTTGACCATCATCACCAACCATCACCTCAAGATCCGGCTTTTCAAACGATATTCAAAACTTACCAGTAATTAGCTGACATTTGGTCCAAAAATGTTTTCCAATTAGTGGCTACTAATTGGTGGAATAAAATGAAAATAAATTCAGTGGAAATTGTTTAAATTGCAATCTAATTGAAAAATTATAATCAAATTAATTGGAAAGTTGTTAACCTGTTGATTTAAAAAAAGAAAATTTTTTTCTCCAAATTTAGAATAAATTAAATTCTAACATGTGCTGCCATCTCTTGGTGAGAATAAGTGACAATCTCTGTATGTTTACATTTGGAAGAAAAATTTTTTGATAGAAATTATTTTCTAATCAATTTATTGGTTAGTTAATTATTTTCTTTTATATTTTTCAATTATTTAATTTCTATTTTTTACAATTAAGTTTAATTTTCAATCTTCGATTACTCTCTTGATGGAATTTTATTTTGCTGATTGATTTCCTTTTCTTCATTGGTTCAGTTTTTCCATTTTCCATTTTTTTGCTTTGATTTTGTTTTTCTCTCTCTCCTTTAATCTTTGATTTATTTAATTTTTCTTTCTTAATTGTTGTTACCTTCTCAATTATCAATAACCATGGTTAAAGAGACTCTGTCATTATCTAGAGTATGTATTCTGTGATATTCCATAAGTGATACAAGAAGTAATTCTGTTAATTTGGTGAATCTTTTTGTGTTTCAGTTTATTCTTAGAAGTCAAGTGATGGACCTTTATCGAGATTTTCTCCGAACAATTAACCCAATTAACGATATTAAAAGTAAGAATGAATTGAAACAATGGATTCGCCAAGATTTCCAACTGAACAAGAGTGTAAAAGATGAGGTAAATAGTCCAATTTAATCCCAAGGAGACCAAGAGAAAGACTTTTCCATAGTATTAACCAATTGTTATTTCTAATAAAATTGTGTTAATTGTTATCAATTTTTAATTCCAACAGGAAGTGATCAGAATGCATTTATCTCGAGGTAGATTGGCTTTGAGAGAGTTACAAGTTTCCATTTCAATGCCTGCGTCCAGTGGATTCAAGAAATTTCAAATTAACAATAAGGATATGAAAAGTTGATTAACTGTGATTGTTAACAAACATTCAATAAGTAATATTTATGTAGATAAATATTAATTTATTACTTGGATATAATTTAATTTTCTCCTTTAACTGGATGGATTCTCAATGGACAAAATGTTGTGTAATATTTGTAAGATACAAATGAGATAAACTCTGTATCTTGATAGATGATGGTGATAACAATTATCGGTGTCCGATTAATCAAAGATTATAACATTTGAATAGACGAGGATAGAAGATCATTTGTCCAACAAATTAAACATCAACAATTAGTTAAGTCAAACATGAAGATCGTAAAGAAAAACGCTAAGAACGAAATGATATTCTTGGATCAAGTCGATTGTTTCGTAAGAATTCAAGTTTCCAATAAACTTGAGGCCATTTCTTTTATCGTCATCGAATTGATAGTGAACCCGTAAAACACTTGGTAATTTGATCCATGATTAAATTGTTAAATGAATTAACGAAATGACCAGTTCTTCATGATCATTGGGTTCAAACTTTCACTTTTTCTTTTTCTTTTTCTGCTTTCACTTGGATGGGTCAAGTGTGAACCTTTTTGTCGTACAACAATTAACCAGTGGGAGAAATTATTTTATAAGTATCAATTAAATGTGTGTGTGTGTGTGTGTAAGAAAAAAAATCAACAAATTACCAATGGAAAAGGGAAAAACAATCAAAGAAAGTGAAAAAGATATTTTTAAAACTTCAATCCACTAATATTTGGTAGATCAGGTAATTTCATATCCTTTATTTGTTGAGGTATATTCATATTCTTAACAGCAGAAACTGCTCTTGCTGGAGCTGTTGCTAGTCCAGCCTAGAAAAATATAAAAAGATAATTGTCATCAAAATTAACGCTTCTAAAAGGGATGAACCAATTTAGAGCAAATTGTTTCCACTCCATTACTGACCTCTTGTTTCTCTAATTTAGTTTGCTCTTCAATTCGCAATAAAATCTCATTGGCATTTGTTTCCAAAACCATACCTCCCATCACTAATTCATTAAGAATATGATGTACCTTAAATAAAGAGAGATAGAGAGAAATAGATTAGAAATGAGAGAAGAAAAAAAAATGCCATTTTCTATAGAATTACCTTATCAACATGGAAAATCAGATCAAGTTCACAAACATTTTCAAAACACTTATCAAGAGTTTCAACGAAAACCTAGAGAGGCAGATAAATAAAAAACAGAATAGTAATCAATTTATTAGATTATTAATAATTCATCTATCAAGATTGAATAACAATCAACACAAACCTGAATTAAATCAAGAATACCCAATTCACTCTCTGAAGAGTCTACACAAAAGACGAAATAAAGAGTAGCATAATGACGATAAATCAATCGATAATCAGATCCACCGATTAAACTGTAAAAATTGTAAAACAAAAATAGAAAAAAAAAATTAAAATAAAACAAATCATTAGAATAGAATAGAATTTGCAATCAAGCTCAAAGAGAATAGAATAAAAATGAAATTCTTTACCTTCCACCCTCTAAGAAATTACAAACCACCGAATCATCACGTTTAGATACTAATTGAAATGTTTCCTGGACAATTTGTTGTTGCACATCCTCAGGCTATAGAAAAAAATAACATTACAATTAAGATTAAATTGAAAATAACAATCAAATTGTTCAATTTAAATAAAAGTAAACAAAGAAAAATCCATAAACCAAAAAAGCTAAAACCAATTCAATCTCAACAATTGGAACAATTTAATAAATACTTACATAGTGATGATAGAATTTGGTTAAACGAGGTTTACCATAATTGTTGAACACTAGAATAGCTTTAATCATAATTAACTAATCAAAAGAAATAAAATCATAAAAAAATTGGAGAGAAACCAAAAAATTAAAATGAAAGAAAAAAAAAATTCAATGTTGTCATTTTGGAGAAGCGAATGTAGTGACATCTAGTAGAACAATTAGTTACTAATATTTGGATTTTTTTTCTTTTCATTAATTGTCAACAATTAGAATTGGAGTTTAAATAGTCGGAAGAGGAAAAAGCTTAATAACAAGGTTATTTTTTTAAATTAATTAAAGTTTATTGATCGAAATAATTGTTGATTAGATTTCTACCATTTTTTTATGGTTTGTTTGCTAAATAATAATAAGTTGTTAAGACACTTGAATGAAGATGTGATGATAATGATGATTAGTTGATTTTAGAAGTAGAAAAAAAATTATCAGTGGACATGTAGAGAAAGAGAGAGAGAGGGAGATAAAGGTGATGGCGAATTGGTCAATTGATCTAAATAATAATAATAATAATAATAATATCGAAATATATAAAAGGGATGAAAGTGAATTGAGAAAAAAAAAATGAGACGAAAAAGTGTCAGGAAATGAGAATGAGGAACGGAAGATAATTAATGGTACAAGAAGAAGCTTGAAATTGATTGTTGATATGATATGTTCAATGATGGTTGTGGTGGTTAATTAGTCTTTGAAGATGTTGTATATTTTATCACAGGTTTCACAGACAAGAATAATGTCCCCTGAGGAGACTGTGTAGCTGGAAAAATTGGCTGAACAATTGGCCTTATGTTGATTGAGAGATTCAAGCATCCGTTGTTTAAGTAGATTAATTGTGACCCCAAGATTAATCGTATGATAATAGTCACAATTTGAACAGGTTAGCTTAGTGGTCGCGGTTTTTTGAAGGGCATATTGTTTACAATAAGCGCATAACATGGTATGTGGATCGTTGATGTTTATAAGGGGCTCAATGAGAATCTCGGTTTTAACAAGCCAAGGATCAGCTTCTTTCTCATCGATTGAATCATCGTCAATATCTTTCATGATCTCATTTCTTGGGGGCGATGGTGGTGGTTTACATTTACCGGAAGCGATTCGATCTCTTTCACTTAGTTCTAAGAATTCATCCCAAGTTAAACTATCGTCGAAAACATACCAGGGAATAGTCTCTTTTGGCGCTGATTTCGAGAGGTCCCATTGTTGGTTACACATCGCATCCCATGACCATTCAGGATCATTAGCGCCAGGATCTTCTCCCTCGTAATCATCTGAAAGATCAATACCACGAAATTTGGCCACGAATTCATCTCGTCTATTTTTTAGCATATTGGCTGGTGAATCTTTAACGTGATCTCGACCTTTCCAATGTTTCAGGCGGGTTGTTGATGAGGATGTTGGAGATGTCGATGAGTTTGATGAAGTTGAAGATGCTCCAGACGATGATGATGATGATGATGATGCAAATCCAGCAACTGAACAATTGGCTGAATTGGAGCCAAAGGGAGATATTAATGGAGATACGGAGGAAAAGGGTGCTGAAGAAAATGAATTTGATCCATTCGAAAATGATTGGTCATTTGAGAAGAAAGATGACGAAGTTGTTGAAGAAGATGAAGGAAAGGATGAACATGAAGAGAATGATGATGATGCAGATGAGCCAAATGGTGACGAAGAATGAGACGGAAAAGAAATAGTCTGTGATTTTGAGCTTGAAGATGCTGATCCAAAGAAGGAAGAATATGGTGATGCAGTGGACAATGAAGATGATCCAAAAGGTGAAGGGTTGACTGGTTCACTCATAAAAAATGACGACACGGGTCGGGTAGAAATGTGATGACCTTGATCCATATTTAAATTTTCTTTCCAAGAAGCAGAAATCAAATAGTCAGGCCTTGAATGAACAAACGTACAGTTGGAAAGATGCTGAAAGAGAAACAAACTAACAAAAAAAAACAAAAGAAAAGAGAAAGAGAAAGAAAACTGGTCAACAGGAATTAATTGGTGGTCACCAGGTTGATGATTATTGGATTCCAAATGAGAGATTAAAGGTAAGCCAAAATAGAAGGTAAACCATCAAGATAACTAATCCTCTCAAATAGAGCCAAAGGTTTGAGGGTAAAAAGAAGAAAATGGCGATACGAGTTTACAACAATCTTTAGAAAAAAGCGGAAGAAAAAAAACAGGTCTTGAAACTGGATAAACCACAGAAAAGAACAAAAATCCACACAGTAGAATAGAACAATTTTCTAAAAAAGAAAAAAAAATACAAACAGAAAACGAGAGAGGAAAAAAAATGTTACTGTTAAAATTGAATTGAAAACAATTGAGTCGTTAAAACGATTGATCTAAAAGCTTCAATATGAAGGCAGGGATAAAATGAGAGATAATGACAATTAAACTGCTACAATTATAAAAGGAAGCAATTGAGACACAATAATGAGAGAGAATCAAGTGAGAGAGAGAGAGAGAGAGAGAGAGAGAGAGATGAAAAGAAAGGGAAAGAGAAAGGGAAAGACAAGGAAAGGACAAATGAGAGAGAAGAGAAATCAACAAAGAGTAACAATAAGATACTCACAGAAAAAGCGAATCCAGTCGATTCGGTTAGTCAGTCAGTCGAAAGAAGATCAACTGAGAATCAGCCGAATTTTACACTTTTCGACTTGAGTCAATTCGACGGGAAAAGGGGAAAGTTATTGAAGCGAAAATGTTGACACAATAAAACGAACAAAATTAATTTTCGTTTTTTTTTGTTCCAACCAAAGTTCACAATCACTTTTTTCGATTTGCGAAAAGAACTCAACCTTCGTACCAATTCAATCCAAAGGTTCGATTATCACTTTGATCTTCTCTTCTTTCATTCATCGAAAATTGGACTTAGAAATTAGTTCAATTAGGTTGACGTTTCGGTTGATCGATCAATTCAACTTTAAGCCGATCGAAATTCACTTGAGTCGACTTTTAATCGACTTAACAATCGAATTCGACTGTAAGCCAAGAGATGGCGTTTCAATTTCTCTAAATAGTCGATCTATTTTTAGAATCTCATTGAAGAAAAACTGGTTTTCGATTGATAGAAATTCGCAGCGCCATCTGTTGGTTTCTCTTGTTATTTCCTCGATTTTACTCTCTTGGAGTAAGAACTCCTCACTATCAACCTTATGATCTGATTCTTTGATAATCTCTCAATTCTAACGGTTAATTTTCTGTTCAATTCTCACAATCTAAACTCTATCCAATCAGAATATACTAATCAATATGTTTCTCTAGTGTCTCAACTAACCAAATTAGTTTCCAATTGTAGTGATCGATAAATAAATTTGTAACTTTTAGAGCCCAACAAAAATTAACCTAAATTCATATTCAAGTTCAACTTGGTGTTTCTCTCTCTCTCTCTCATCATCATATCATCATTTTCATGTTTTACATTTTCTCCCATTGTATATCAATGAAAAGGTTAACTTTTTTCTTTCTTTCTCTTGTGCAAACTTATTGTTCTTTCACATAAAATATAATAATAATGGAAAAACCTTCATTATAATAGTCATTGAATTCTGAGGGAAAATTGTGACATATATATATGAAGAAACTGCCATTTCCTGAATAATCTGATATTCTCATTGTGTCCAAACAGTTCAGTTGAAGATTATTCTCTCAGAGTCGACTCTTGATTCGGGAGCAAAACCATCTAAATCACTGGGGAATATCTAGAATATACAATAAATCTCAATTTCCATCGAGAAGCAAAAAACCCTTTCAATTGGTCATTTAATGCCGGACAAATTTATCGATATTCTTTCCTCATTCTTTCCCACCATGTTTCTTGTTTGTAAATTTCACCAATTCAAAAGACAACAACAGGAATCGAATAGGAAAAAGATCACCGAGAAAGAGCTCTCCCATCTTAACCATAAAATCGTAAGTCAAAGTAAACTTAATTTGTTTTCCTTCTTCTACCAACCAAAATGCTTTCGAATAAGAAAAACAATTCCAACAATTAATCTTCCTTCTTTGAATGAAATAATCCATGGAAAACCCCATGAACTTTTACATGAATGTTGTAAGAATGTTGGAAACAAAATCAATTTATAGATTTTGATATAACTTGGGTGTGTCTCAATTGTCTTTTGATATTATTTTCTGTTCAGGATAAATTGTTGAATAAACTTGAAGAACATGATTCAGAATTGGCTTCAACGCCTGACGAAGAGGTAAGTTAACTAATTACCGATAATTAACTTTATCATAATCCAATCTTTCATTTCTACTGCTTGGATATTACTTTCAACCTTTAATTGTAAACCAATTAATCAATCAGATTATCAGTTTTTGGATATCTACAAACATTGTTATCATTATGATGAGTTAATTGAAATGTTTTACGATAACAATTAATATTGTGATGGTTGATTGTTGACCAACTGATGGATTAACAGTTGGATTATTATTTAGATTGTCAAGTGTAATTGTTATCAAGTTGTATTGATGGTGAGAGAGAGTTAATTGTTATCAAAGTCAATTGATTGATAAATTTTCTTTCTGGACTATTGATTGTCCAAAGCTTTTAAATTATAACCAAAAAGGGGTAGAGATTTGTTTCTCTATCCTTGAGACAAGTATTGACCAATAAGATGACCAATTGAGTAGAAATGAGTTGACAATTGTGTTACAATTAACTGATTGAAATGATTGATGAGTAGCAACTAAACTCTTCTTGTTGATGGACTGAAAATCGTTGTAAAGTCAATTAATTTGATTAGAATGTTGTAATTATATATTGATCATTTTTTCGCTTTTTTTTCTTTCTTTTCTTCTTCTTCTCTTATTTATATTAAGTGTGTCATTTGCATAAGTGCCAAAGCAACGATGCAAACATTTCCTTGTGGTCATCGAGTTGTTTGTCGGAAATGTTTCGTTAAAACGATCCAAGTGGCCGTTAGCCAGCGGCTACTTCCCTTGAGGTGTGTCATTTGTCGCGCGAAAATATTGAGATTAAAGCAAACCAGCCAAGGAGGAATCGACACTGGAACTGTATTGAGAAGTCATGTCGCTGCAGTGACCGCAGGTCATCATCATCACCACCATCATAGGTCATCTTCTTCCTCTTCACTCTCGTCATCTTCATCTTCATCTTCATCACCTTCCAGTAAAACTGTGAAAATCTCACCAGTAACTACACCAATTTCCAGTTCGACATCTCTCAATTCACCCTTAGGCAATAATCCATTTTTTATCTCACCAGCGACTAGTCCAGTTTCCCCGGTGACCGAAATTTTTCGCGAACAACGAGCCGTTTGGGCTCGTAACTATGACTCTTTCGGCTACGAGGTTACAGGTCAAAGCCCAATCCCAAATACACCGTCACCGATTGTCAGTACACCAACAGTTGAGGTAAGTAACCAATTGATTATTAATACTAACACAAATCAATAATAATAATCTCATTGAGAAAATTATATAGATTTAGTTTGACCTCTTTCCTTTTCAATAATATTGATAATTACTTTTTACTCACATATATCACTAATCAGATTAATCTAAATATATTTCATCACTCTAATTATCTGCAGGCCACTAAACAAAATGTAATTATCTCTTAATTGTGAACCGATCAATGTCCGTCATATCAATATGTAGACACTAATTGTTATCATCTCTATTTTTGAGTCACAATTAGCGAACCATGAAAATGCATCAACCAGAAACTTCTGAGAATCAAAAAGTAACAGAATTAATAATAATTATGATGATAATAATAATAATAATAGTAATCATGGTAACCTTATCAATTTGGTTGACCAATGGTCAATTCAATTAGCTCACTTGGTTGTCCATTGTTTCATTATTATTGTCCAATTTTGTCAAGTTAATTGTGTTTTAGACTAAATTTTGATTACTATTTTTCTCCTTCCGAACAATTAACTTTCATTGTTTTCCTGTTATTCTTGACACTTTCTAATAATCAGAACTTTTCTCTTGTTCATTGTGTATTCATTATCTTCACTTGATGACCTTTAATAATAATGATGCTAATTTTTCATTCTCTTTTCTTTTCATCGTTCCAATTATCTAGTCAAAAACTGACCTTAACCTTGGGTCAGGATGTGTTCTTCATAAACATTGCTTCAATAAACATAACAATTTGAACGGAAATGATGGCGGAATCAATAATTCAGGTTCAGTACGAGGTTCACCATCCACTCCATCATCATCATCATCATCAAAGACATTTCTAAGTCCATCAATTACTCCAGCAACTTTATCATCTCCATTATCTACCTCAGGGTCAACCAATAATCTATCACGGAATCAACAATCCTTGTCTTCACCAGTTTCCTTGACACCAACAACATCATCATCTTTTACACCTCTCTGTCCAACAGCTCCCAATCCATGGCAATTCCAGATCAACCGGAAGAGACGCCATCGATTAGCTCATCGACGGAGGAGAGGTCATTATGTGCCTTCCGGTCGACCTACTTCATTACTATTACCGATCGATGAGAAAGACGAATGGCATGAAGATAATAATAACAACAGTTCCGATCATGAAATTACTCGTCAGAAAAGTTCATCCTTACAGAATGAGAAAAGTTCATCATCATATGATTACTATTATCGATCAAAAAGGAAACAATCAAGTGACAATTGCGATTATGGGAATGATGAAGATGATAATATTCTCGATGATGATGACGACGACAATGATGATGATGATGATGACGAAGATGAAGATGAAGATGAGGAAGATAATGATTGTAATGAGAGTCAATATCTAAATGCTCAGAGTGTCAATGAAGATATGAAACAAGAAGATAAAAGTAAATCATCCAATTATCATGAAGTTAATGATGATGATAATGATGAGAATAAGCTAATCAATGGAGGATCAATGAATCTAAATGAAAATGATTCCCGACGTGATTCAATGAAACACTTACTGGACACTTCACAATCAGCCAAATTGTCACCAAATAATCACAACTCCAAGCTTTCAAATGCTTTTGCTAGAGCCAAAAATTTGGTCCTCAAGGGTAAATGGAGAAGTCATTAGTTAGTCAATTGAATGATTAATATCAACCATCAATCAACAAACCCAATCATCAATTATTAACAATTCAACCATCAATATATTCATAATATTTTCCCTTTCATTTAACAATCAATTTCAAATTAACTATGATTCCTATTTATTTATAGATGAGACTCTCAACTTTAACCTTAATCTTTCCCTTTGATTCCCATTCTTGATTCTATCATCTATTTATTTGGAATTATTATCCGATTAATTGTTACAATTACAATTGAATTTGATGTGGGAGTAGGAAAAATTGGTTCTCATGATGCAATAACAACTCATAATAATCAGATACTTCAATGTTAGTGCCTTGATTAACCCTTTTCCCTTGTTCATTGTTGATTCAGTCTCTTGGAAATTTAATCTCTTTTTTTCATGATGAAACTTTCATCAGATTGTTTCATATTCATATCGATCTTCAATATCTGCTATCTACTAATTCATAGAGTTGATGAGTTTGTATCCGGTTTCCGTTTCCAAAACAATTGAGAATCAGCCTTTTTTTTATATTAATACAATAATCCAATGAAAATCAGGAATTCATTTCAATTGCTCAATCCTTTCAATTGTCTTGATTTAATGATCAAGTATTTTAACAAATAGTTGATTAACTTTGCTGATTAATCATTTTAATCATATCAATTGTATTGTACTTAGATACTTAAAAGTAATGTTATTAATAGTTTCAAATCACATTAATCAGTGTAAACTTAATTATTAGCTTGATCAGCACAATAATCAATTAATCTTGTTGACAATTAACTGTTATAATATTTTGCTAATAGATTTAATTATTTTCTATCACAATCATAACAATAATTTAGGTTTACAGTTTACAAATCAGATGAAACAATTGAATCTAATTTTCATGATGAATGAAAAAGTAATTAATGAAAAGATTAATGATCAACAATTAACCAACAAACGAGTGGTGATAAATATCAAATTTAGTAATCAATGTAACCTTAAACATATCTTTAAATTAACCTTAAATTGAAGGCAAAATTTAAATTGTCTTCATCTCTATTGGTGGTTAATCATATTATCAAAAAAATAAAATATAACAGAACAGATAACTTTCACTCCCAGTCATTCAATTGGTTTCAATTTCAACATTGAGAGGATATTAAATCCATATAATATAAAGCAATCAAAAAATGGGAACATGATTAACATATAATAATCAACAATATTGTTAGTTAATTGTTGTGTAACAATATTATAAAAGCAATAGAAAACAAAAATTCAATTCTTTTTCCTGTTTTTTGGTCTTTCTTAACTTCTTTCCTCTAATAGATTAGACCAATTGTAAGGATCGATTTCTACTAATCAATGAATCGATTTCTATCTTCATCATCATCATCATCATCATCGACTCATTCAACTAACGAACTCGAAATAATCAATTCGATAATAATCTTTTTCTTATTCTAAATTCTCATTCGTTTTAATGACAACATGATGCTGCCTGAAATTTGCCCAAAAAAATGTCAAATATCCAAAATCCTCATCAATTTTGATCCTCATCTCCTCCTCATCCTCATCCTTATCATCCTTATCATCATCATCATCATCCACGATCCTCTCTCTTTATTTCCTTTGCCCTATTAATTTCAGTGATTCAAATCTAAATCGCGACAAAGAATTAATTTGAAACCAGAGATGATAAAACCAATGGAGACAACGATAAGATCCTGTAATGGAAATTAACAATTAACGAATGATTTTTAATTCTTTCTGGTCCTTGTGCCAATGATTAACTTAATTACTCTGATAAATTACTGTCAAATATCATCATTATCACAGTATCATCATAATTTACAACAAACAAAACAATAACAATTAACTAATCAAAACCTCCTGTAAATGTAAACTGAAAAATCAACTACAACTTTTGTCAACAAAAATCAACTAATCAATTAATTGGAGTAATTCAATTAATATATTAATCAATATATATATATCAACCTCTCAATTAGAACCAAATTAACAAACTTTAATAATAATTAAAACATAATTATTGTATTATTACAACAACGAAAACAATTAATTAATCATGAAATTGAAATTGAAAATTATAACTCAACAATTAAAATCTATCTCAGTCCATCAGATCAAAACTGAATCAATTATATATTGAAATCTAATCAGAATTAAATCAATTCAGATTAATTATTTAAAAAGCTAAATTGTTAAAATATAATTTACAAAATCTTCCAAATTTAATTTCAATCCAATTTCTAATTGTAAATAATTAACTTTTTTTTTGTTCTCACTATTGTTTGAAACTCCAATTCCAATCTTAATTTTTTGTTATTCCTTTAATTGTTAATCGTTAACTCTGATTACTATTATATACAACTAATTGTTACATAAACTGTTATAACAATTAACTAATTTGATAATCATTTGTGCCAAAAAAAAAAAGAAATTGTTTCATTGTAAAAAAGTTAAATTGGAAAATCAATGTTATTGATTAATTTTAATTTCTAATTTAAGTTAATCATGTTGTTTCATTTAACTATTATTATTATTAATTGTTATTAATATATTCAAATTAATCACAAGTATAATAATTAATTGATTGTAATTTAATTATTTAATTGTTTTCATTTTGCTTCATTTGATTTTCCCAATAATTTAATTGAAAACAAATTATCAATTCTGTCTATGCAGGAATCACAATTAACTTAATCATTAATTGTTCAAATGATTATATATATATAAATTGTCTCAAAATCAAAGATGAAAATTGATTAACAATTGATTAAGTAATTAAAACTAATAAAAAATCAAATGACAATTTCAAAGTTTCAAAATTAAAATACAACAATTGATAAAATTCATTTTTCCTTATTTCCAATAGACAATAAATGATTTTTTTTCACGATGAATACATTTGATCTAGTTGATAGTAATTAAAAGATTAAATTGTCAATTTAATTTAGCTCAATTAATTGGATTAATCGGTTTTCCAATTTTCGGGTTCTCCATTCAAATTTGGCGCTTTTCCAAAATTTTCTGGTTCTTATTTTGGTTGATTGAGAAAACAGTTTGTCCTTTGAAGTCCTTTACAAATCAAGTGAATTAATTGTTTGTTTATTAATTAATTGTAAGTATTAATTTTAATTATTCTTGTAAATTTAGATAATTTAACTGTATAAGATTGTGGAATAATTAGTTTAAGTTGATAAGTAAATTTCCATCAATTGGTTTAATCAATTTTTCTTTGTGAGGCTTAAGGTTGATTTTTGTTTTTTCCTCTTTTCTATTTAAGACTTTCCTTTAATATAGATTTTGTTTTTTTTGTTTCTTCTTTTTAATTTTTGTTGTTCTTTTTTTTTATTAGGTATTGTTGCAGATACAATGTTGTTTAGTCGATTATCTTTGGTTACCTCTCGTCATGTTTACCGAGCTTTGGTAAATTCAAATCGATCCGCTCATTATGCTAATCCTTATGCTAAATGGCATCCGTCTGGTGTTGCTTTGATTCCTGCTCATCATTCACCAGATCCCTACACTTTAGACCCTGAAAAGATTGCTAAAGATCATCATCATACTCTACATGGTGTACCAAGGGAATTTTGGCCTGCAACTTTAAATGAATTTCCAGTTCCAAGTGGCTCATGGGCTGAACATTATGCTGAAGTTCAATCGGCTTACAATAAGCAACTTGCTATTGGAATTGTTTTCTTTCTCATCTCTGTTGGTGTATTTGTCTCGCATCCTAAAATCTTCTGGTACTCACCACCATTAGATATTACTGATCTTAACTGGAGAGACGAGTCAAGTGAATAGATTTTAATTGGGAGATTATTGTAAATTGTAAAATTCACGAGAAAAAGAAACAAAAAAAAATTATGTAAACGCTAATAACGTATGTCCAATTATCGAAACAAAATTTCGTTAATTGTGTTGATGGTTATATGTTTTCTTTCTCAAACTATATAACCATAAATGTTTAACATCTTTCAGAACTAAATTGTTGTCTCTTAAATAGTTGATTAGCTCTAAGAATAAGAATAAGAAAAGATCATTTTGAAAACAAACCAGATTATTTGTTTTAATTTAAATTTTCTGCATATCAAAAATTAAGATGTCAAATAAAATTTTCACTTGATTGAAGTGAAATATCACAATAAACGTCAACTAATTTAATTACAATGATTTTTGTCTAAATTCTGCATGATAGTTACAGTTACATTTTAAACAGAATATTTTTCAAAAATCTGTTGTTTCTTTTCCGCGTACGCCCGATTCAATTCATCTGTACTAATCTCATATTTTTCCGTTTTCCCACCGCGACCATAATTAATAACGGTAGCATTTCCCAAGTCCATAATTCGCATCATCCTGTGCATATAAGGTTCATCAACGGAATAAGCTTCCCCTCGATCTTTTATAAAATTAGCATAAAGAGCGTAACCAGCAATGTTAAAGGCAGTGAAAAGATAGAGCTTTTTAGCTCTACCATACCACAATTCAGCAGTAGGCTGGCTGATTGGAGGAAAATAGGACCTAAAGAAACGAATAACCGCAAACCTAAAAGACATAATTAATTAACACGATGACACAACAAGAAAAATGTAAGAAAAAAACAACAACAGCAACAATTAAATATCGTTCCAAATCCTTTTGAATCCAAAATCGTGACAATTTAAAAGACCAAAATCATTACCAATAAGTCATAAAGAAAGAAAATGGAAACAGAAAGGACACACAGGATAGAAAAGAATCAATAATATTCAAAAGAAAATCATTAAATTGGTCAAGCGTCGAAATAAATTACACAATAACAATTAAAGAATAATCAATAAATTGGAAAGAAAACAAAAAAAGAATAGAATAAAAATCAAAACAAAATAGAAAAGAAAAATTCTAAAAAAGAGCGACACCTATCGGAATAGAAAACAACTGGTATATCACGTTTGTTCTTTTTAAGGTTTTCGGCTCTTTGAGAATCATCATCATCTTTTTTCATCTTGATTCTTAAATCATTTGCCCTTAAAGTGTAACGTTTTCTTTTTATTTCACCTTCCTGTTAATCTGTTAATCATCTAACTGTTGTAAATCGAAAAAGCTTATTGACAATTATCTTGATTGAACAGAATTAATCTCTTCTTCTATTTTCACCTCTTTCTAAATTCAACTTCTAAATTGTGTCTATTTTTTTATTCTCTCTGTCTCTTAACACCCAATAGGTATTAACATTTTCTCTCTCTATTTGTGTGTTTCTTTGGAACAGCATCTTCTCTCGGAAAATATTTCATCTTTTTGTTTCTTCTTCTTTCAATACCGGTAGAAAAATCATCCCTCATCACCATCACAATGACAGAAATTCAAGGATCTTACCAGTGTGTCAATGTATATGCAACATCGTGCACCACTGAAAATCTTAGTCGTCATGAAATGCTGGGTTGGGTCAATGACAGCCTTCAATCCAGCTATAAAAAGATTGAAGAACTTTGCTCTGGTTTGTTCTATTCTTTTTTTTATTCTCTTCTTTTTTAATTTTCTATCCAATTACTCATCCTTCTCCTTTACCTCACCCAAACTCTTCCTCTTTCCACCATCTCTTTCTTTCTCTCTCTCTCTCTCTCTCTCTCTCTCTCTCTCTCTCTCTCCTCTCACCTCTTGTTCTTCTTCCTTGTTTACACCTTCTTTTTTATTCTTCTTTCTCTTTCTCTGGTTTTCTTTATCTCACCTTTCTATTCCTTTTTGTTTCTTCATCATCCTTTTCTTACCTTATGTAACCCCTACTTCTTGAAACCCCTTTACTCAGCTTCGGGTTTCGTTTGCAATTCTTGTTAACGTATTACCCATTTTTTCATAGCTCATTTGTTCCTTGTGTTACTGTCTACGTCTTCTTGCCTTTTTAAATTGTCAACCTCAACACTTCCTTTTCTAATTATGCTGTCACAATTTAATCATCATCATCATCATCACCATTATCATGATATGGTGTATTTTTCAGGGTCTTTAGGGTAGAAAAGGTTTCAATTGGTATTGACAATTTAACCAGACGTAATTAATGACTCGTTAAACAGAACAACATTGTCTGAGAAATTAATTTTCTCGTTCTCTCTCCAATAATAATAATAATTGTCTTTTTTTCCTTCTCGCCATTTTTTGTATCAGGAGCTGCATATGCACAGTTTATGGATCTCTTGTTCCCTGGAACAATTGCCCTGAAAAAGATTAAATTCCGAACCCTTTTGGAACATGAATATATCCAAAATTTTAAACTTGTCCAAGCGGCTTTCAAAAAAGTCGGATGTGACAAGGTACGTATTCACTTTGACATGAGACGTCAATCAAAAAAAAAATGCGTATTCATTTCTCGTTATATCAGTTCTTATACCCTTTCAATTTTGAAGGTTCTTTTATATTTATATCTTTTTCTTTATTACATTATGATTATACTATTCGATTATTATTATTTCGTTTTCTTTTCTCTTCTCTTAATGCATGTAACTGAATTTTCTGTTTTCTTTTTATTGCTCATGACAACTTTCTCACTTTAAGCAGGAAATTCCGATCAATCGTTTGGTTAAAGGTCGATTCCAAGATAACTTTGAATTCTTACAATGGTTTAAAAAATTTTTCGATGCCAATTATGATGGCCGAGAATATTCACCATTAGAAGCTCGAGGTGGTATTCCCATTGGTTCGGGTGTTTCAGCCGGTGGTAATTTACAATCTTCTAATAGTAGCTTTACAATGCCCAGTCGAATGCCTCTTCAGCCTCGAGCAAGTGCAACCACCGCTGTTGCCGCAGCTAGTAAACCTGTAAGCCGAACAGGACCAGTCCAATCAAGACCAACACCTACTCGTAATCCTGGTGCTCGACCAGCACTGGTTCGAGGGGCTCATAACAATGACCATAATAATGATATTGATCCTCGATTGGAAGAGGTTGAAGGACAAATGAGTAACCTTAAATTAACTATTGATAGTTTGGAAAGAGAGAGAGACTTTTATTATGGTAAATTACGTGATATTGAAGTTCTTTGCCAAGGAACCACGGAGAATGAGGATGAAGAAAAATCCGTTCTAATTGAAAAGATCTTGAATATTCTATATGCCACCGAGGAGGGATTCGCGGTTCCCGAAGAAGGTGCCGAAGAGCCTCGAACTGCAGCTGAAGGTGCTCTAGATGAATATTAATTAACTGCAATCAAACATACAATTTAAATTACACAAACACAAAAAAAAGATCCCAACGATAGTCTCACAAAACAAAAAAGGTGAACAATCAAGTTTAAAGAAAACACGATTAATTACTGATTCTCTTTTACTTTTTCAGTCAACAATTTGACAAAATTTCTCTCTCCATTCCCGTTATCCCTCCTTTCTCTCTGAATAAGTAATTAACTTTCTCTATCTCTCTCTTACATTATCATCGGAATTAAGCAAATGAAAATGTTATCAAGCATCAATGGCAATTAATTTTACGTCATTAAATTTACTCATCCTAACAATATATACAATTGATTCTATTAAAGAAAAACAAACAATCTAAATTTTAATCAATTCTCGAGCCCGCTTTTTCCCGATGATTTAACTTTCATATGAATAATTAACTTATTTCTCTCTTTCTCTTTTACTTAGATTTTTACTCAATTAATTTAAATTAATTCTCAATCAACATCATGATGAGGGACAATTAAGGTAAACAGATGGAATTCACTTGATCTTTATCTTGTAACAATTTGGTTAATTGTGAATGTTAATCCATTCGGTTAATCTGTTAATTCAATTGCTCCTCTCACCAATCGTTTTCCATTGATTGTCTATTGAATAATTTAATTTCCACAATCTATTCGTAGATTTAATTTGACCAAATGATTAAATTGTTCAATCAAACCAATGGAAACAATTTACAATCAAGGCAAACAATTGATCATGACAATTGATTTTCTTTTTTTTTCTTTTGTTACAATTTGATTTTTAACAATTAGGCTTATCAAAGGGAAGATTATTATTCTGACAATTAACTTGTTTTGTAAATTTAATTGTTCAACTTTTAATTGTTCAACTTTTGATGAAAATCAAGTTACTTTTAGTTAAGAAAAGTGATCATAGATGTCGCTAGGAGCTTAATTTTTTTCGCAAAAAAAAAAGTTTCAAATGTTTGATTAAGTTTTAGAAAATTTAATTGTTAACAATTTAACATAATAATTATAAATAAATTTCTCAACTCATCATGTTAATAGAAAGTAAATTAAATTCTATTGAATTTAACAATAATAATAAGGAAAAAGGGGAAAAAAAGGATTAGTGAGAAAAGAAAAAAAAATTTCAATGGAAACAATTTAAAAAGATTTTCTTATTAATATGAATCCTGCAATCGGAATGATTTAAATTTGATCATGATAATTAAAGGATCAACTTTTTGATTGTTAAGATATAAAGATGATGATTAAAATAAATCAGTAAAAGTCATTCATCAAAAAAAACTTTTCTCTCAACCAATTCAATAATCAATTGAAAAGTTTGTATTCCTTTTGATAGTTAACTTAATTTTCAAGGTAACAACAATCTAATATAATAATTATCATTAGATAATATGATGATTACATAAACTGTTCAGTTCATTTGCCTGAACAGAGTGGGTAAGTTTATGGCTGAGTATAAGAAAAACTTGAAATTGAAATACACACACACACAATCAACTAACTAACAACAATTACAATGTATCAAAGCTAAATCGAGAACGTAATAATAATCAAATCTGTTCAAATGATCATCTCATGATTCAATCAAATTTCAAGGTAATCATGAATTAATCAGCCTGATATACACACAGATCAATGAGAAAAAAGCGAAACTGAATCCAGAAAATTGATGAAACTCATGAGAGGGAAAAACAAATGAGATATAAAAGAGATAAAAAAAATCTGAGAAAAAGATTCAGAATATTGAGAATTTGCTCAGAACGATTTTCCATGAAATTTTTTCTTCTCCTCTCTCTCTCTCTCTCTCTCTCTCTCTCTCTCTCTCTCTTTAACTTTCTCTTTCTTTCGGAGGTGGAAAAAGTTGACATAAAGACAGAGAGAGAGAGAGAGAGAGTGACAATGATTTCCACCCTCTAGAAACACTGAACTAGGAGTGGTAACAATTTAACCCACAACCAGATTATTAGTGTGATCATCGGAGTAGCAAGTAGAGATTAGTATCAATAGAGAGACAAGAAGACAAGTAAAAGATGATATTTGTTATCATCTGATGAAGATGATGATGATAAGCAGAGTGAAAGTCAAGTTCAAGTTGAACGGATATGGATTGACTATGTTAATCTCTCAACCATGATAATCTTTCATCTTTATTTTTCTTAAGCCAAAATGACGATAACTTTTTTCTCTCTCTCTCTCTCTCTCTCTCAATTCTGCTATTAATATCATAGTGTTTTTTTTATCATCCTCATCATCATCATCATCAATAATCATATAAGCGAGTCAGAGGTGGGAGGGAAAAGTGAGAAAAACATTTCCAACACCAAAGGTAAGAAATACTAAAGAGTTTGAAAAAAAAGTTCTGAATCCGAATGAAAGTTTTTCATATATACAATTAAACGGTTGGTGATTCTTGATCATTATCAACTGATTATTATGATTACTTACAATTCATTGTTAGGTTAATTGTTGGCTAATCTATGGAAATAAAATTAACGCTATTGATATAATAAAAGAAATCAAATAATAATAATAATATCAATAATAATGATCGTTTCTAAATAGCTTCAGGTGTTTTTCTTATTATTATCATCACAATTAACTTAATTGTGACCTGATTGGCTTGAGTTAATTTAGTTTACTCTCTATTACAATTATTAGAAAAGGAAAGAAAATTTTTTGTAAAACTTTGATTATCTCCGGAAGTTTAAATTGTTATTGATGTTTTCTCAACTTAATTGTTATTATTATTATTAGAATGATGCTGATTATGATTAAGATATGAATTAATTAATTGTTGTCTCATCATTAACTTGCTGTCGTATTTGTTTATTAAGTAAATATGATTATCTTGTTGTGATCATTAAATTAGTTTTTTTTTGCTTCGATTGATTAATAGAGATTGAAGAAGAATCAAAAAGTTTAAAAAGGAAACTACAATTAGTTAATTTCTCCTTAATTGTTTGTCTGACAACATTTAGTATATTAATTGTGAAACATTTTCTTAACTATTCCAACTAGAAATAGTAAATTGTTGCTAATTGTCGAGGACAATTAAACATTTGATGTCTTATGTTTACCTTGTGTTTTACTTCATTAATATTTAAATCACTTTGTCACCTTAAGAGGGCTAATTGTTTGCTTATGATAATTAGTAATTTACCTGGATAACAATTAACAATTAACGTTGTCACTGATCATTGTCTGTAGTTTGTATTAATTACTGTAAACAATTAGTCGTTACAAAGTTAAAGGTATTTACGAGAATCTAATTAATCATAAATCTCCAGAAATTTTAATCACTCCTTTGATTACTTAATTGTAAGTAACATCTTAATCCTTTTAACAACAATTATCAATTGACAATTAGATGATGTCATCAATATTATATATTCAAATTAAAAGTTTAATTTGATTGATTAGAAACAAAAAAGTTCTAATTGTTATCATTAACGATTTGAACAATTATCTACCAACGAACCTAATTAAGGACTATTAAAGGTTAATGAGCGATTAATTAATTACTCAATAGTGATTATTAAATGTTGTAAAATCAGATTGTTAATTGTTTAGCATTAGGCAACAATTAAAGTTTATTATTGTGTCGGCAAGTGGTTATCATTGGTAAGACAGTTAATTGATTATCTTAATTGTTGTGAATATCTAAAAAAAAAATTGAAACTTTGTTACTCTTGTTAATTAACTTAATCATAATTACTGATTAGATTTGTGTAAATGATCATAGACATAATTAAAAAAATTTGTCATTGCCACTTAATTGTGGTTACAATTAAAAGGAAAAATATTATTAACTTTTTATTATCAATGTGATTAACTGATTAACAACAAACTTGTTGACTAAATTGTTGTTAATTTGAGCTTTTCAAACAAAATAATATAATAAATATATTGACCGTTAATCATACAACCAAATCTAATTAACTTAACGAGTCATTAACTTTAAATGAATTAACTTGATTAACTAAATTGTGTTAATCATTTTCAAATCATTGATTGTTATCATTGATCAATAACAATTTCCTGATTACTTTTTAATTTTATCCACCACTCAAATAACTATCAATATAAACACGTTAATCAATCATGTAAATCAATGATTAAGCTCAACTAATTAATAATTAAATATCAATCTAATACTTAAATTGCTCCTTTAATCAAATCCTTTCAATTGTGAACAAATCTCAACAAAGTTAATTGGATTAACTAATCAGCTCAAATTGCTTACTTACTACTCAACAACTTGACAACAACAATTAACACTTGATCAAAAATCAAATGATCAACAATTAAAAGCCAATAAAATACAATTTGAATAATTTTTGACCTTGAGAGTAAAAACAGACAGTCAACACGTATTCTTTAATTTTTGGCCTGACTCGCGATTTTCGGGAATTAGCCCAAAACGGGAAAATGGTTCGAACTGTTTTGTGCTCGAATTGATAAACTTACATAACCTATGGCCAGAAAAGATGAGACTCTTCGCAAAAATCGCCATAACTATTGAACAATAAAGAATTTTTTTCTCAAATTTTATACTCGAATAGTACACACATATGATCATGTCAACAAGAAAAATTCAGTCTCTCAACTTTTTTAACTTCGATTTATTGAGGTCGAAACTCGCCGAAAGTTTTACTCAAGTCGTATTTTCCCATTCATCTCCATACTCATTTTATAATGGAGGAGATGGGTTTTCGAAAAAACGAAAAAATCTCTCTTAGAGGTAATTAAATGTTAATCAACTTTAATCATAATTCAGCATTTTTAATGTTTAATTAAATTTTTATTAATATGAAAATGATAAAATACCAACAATTAACTTTTCCACCCACAACCTTAATCATATTTAATATAATTAAGATGATTAAAACTAATTGAAAAGTTAAAAGTATTAATAACAAGAATCAACAATTTAACACATTGGTTGTTGATTTAAATTCAAGTTCATAAATTAAATTAACCACAACAATTAAGAGAATCAAATTAAATCATAATATTCCCTTTAATCGAGTAAAAAACAATAGGTAATGTGAGAATCACGTCTTTCCGTGATTTAATCAACAATCAACAGATAGTTGATTATCAAATAAACGATTCAAATTTATAACCACAACAATTAACTAAACATTTAAAATGATACATTAACGAAAATTTTAATTCAATTGATCAAATTAAAAACTAAAGCAACAAAACAAACTTCAATTTTTATATTAAATTAAACATTTTGTATTTCATTTGATTTAAAACTAAATTTAAATCACCTTGGAAATCAGATTAATTGAGTCTTAATTGTTATTTTGGGCGTAATTACGATTTAACTGTCAAATTGTATATTGATTACATAATTTAATTGTTTTCTACGTGTGATAATTGTTAAATTGTTGAGGGGAAATAATAGTAATTAATATGAAACAATTTTCTGTTACATATAAAAAGCAGCTTCCAGCTTGATTGTTTCATTTTCAATTGACTAACCTTCGTGTCTATTGATTAAATTACACACATAAGTTGTTACAATTAAGTTAATCATGAATGTTAATTTGAAAGGTAAAAATGTTTTGGTAACTGGTGCAAGTCGTGGTATTGGCCTGCGTTTAGTTGAAAGGTTTGTCGAGGCCGAAGCGGCAAAAGTTTATGCCGTTTGTATTGATGGTGAAGCATTGGAAAAGCTCAAGGAATCGTTACCTTCCGTTGAGACGCTAATTGTTGACCTTAGTAAATGGGAAGAGACTCGAGAGAGATTATCATCACTGGACATTGTCCATTGTTTGGTTAATTGTGCTGGTGTTGTTGAATACACCGAAACGGGTCAGATCACCGAGGCTCAATGGGATTTTCACTTTGATGTCAATACGAAAGCGATTCTCAATGTAAGTCAAATCATTTGTAATAAGTTAATCGCCGCGGGTGAGAAAGGATCAGTGGTCAATATCTCATCGATTGCCTCGCACCGATTTACTCCCAATCATTTGGTTTACTCGGCTTCCAAAGCAGCGGTGGATAATATAACCTGTACTATGGCCGTTGATTATGGTCGAAAAGGTATTCGAGTTAATTCAATTAATCCGACCGTTGTATCTACACCAATGGGCGCTAAAATGTGGTCCGATCCAGCTAAAAGTGGACCTTTACTTGAACGGACACCAACGGGTCGTTTTAATACAACCGATGATATCGCCGATTTGATACTTTTCCTGTTGAGTGAACGAGCAGCGATGCTTAATGGTGTCGTCCTACCGATAGACGGTGGTTATAGTAGATGTTAAATTGTTCACAATTAGCGGTAATTGTTCAACCTTAACATAAGTAAAACAAATGGCAAAAATAAACATAAATCTGTTTTCATTTAAATTCATTGAATCTTATCAATCAATTTCTTCAATCTAAACGTACAGGAAATGAAAATTAAATTTGCTAATTGTTACTAAAAATTTGACAATAAATCAAATATCATGAAGGAAATTAAGTTAAGTAGGTAAATTAATTTATTGCTTTTCAAGTTCATTTGTACTCACCGTCAATCAGATGAGACACTCTGTAGTTTTGACAATGGGTGAACAAGGGGGCAAACCTTTTAATGGGTGGGGTGGGTTGTTGGGTGGTCTTTTTTGATTACAGTGATAAACAATTGTCTCTCTCTCTCTCTCTCTCTCTCTCTCTCTCTCACTTTCCCATGTTAATAGTAAATCATTTTCATGGATTAGGTGAGAAACAGGTAAGCTCAATGTTAGATAATCTAACAAAAGTAATTCAAGCTTGAAACTAATAGGAAAGAGTAGATGAAGATGAAGATGAGAGAGAGAGAGAGAGAGAGAGAGAGAGAGAGAGAGAGAGAGAGAGAGAGAGAGAGAGAGAGCTATATGTAGTGAGTAAATTTATTGCTTTAAATTAAATCGTAACAAGAGATAAACAGTAGGGAAGATAATCAAGATGAAAACTTTTTTCGTTCTGAAAAAAGTAACTATTTTAACCCTTTGAATTTTGCATTATCATGCTAATCATGTTCATCCCTGTGTATCTCAATATCATCATTATTTACCTGGAAATAATTATCACAGGTAATTAATATTGAAAGTTTTTCTTAAATCTACAAAAAAAAATGAAGATGATTCCAACTCCCTGCAGACTGAATGTTAAGATTCACATTGGAAACAGATAATGATTAAGATGATGGAAAGGTAATTAATGATGAAAAGATTTTAAAGATTGTATTTAATTTGCTTCCTAATTGCATTGATTGTCTTCCAGCAATTAAATCAACAGGCTATCGATATGGTCAATAGTCTTGGTCAAAACAAGTTAATTGCAAAATTTAATTGCTGTTAACTTTTCGTAAATTGTAAAAGCATCAAAATCAACTTTGAAATGAGATGAAAAAAAAAGTTACACAAACTATAAAAATCAACAGATCAACATGAAGATTGTTGTAAAAAAAACTTCAATGATTGTAATGACCACCATCAAGTTTAATTAACTATCACAGAGAGGTAACAATTAACAAATCAACAGGTAAAAATGATTAAAGGTAAGATTTGAACACAATTGCGGTAAAATTGAAACAAAGAATCAACTTTTTTGTCCATTCAACTCTTGAAACGATTTTGCTTTCCAAACAATTTACTAATTCTGTTGATAATCATGATGAAATAAACACAATTACCGATAAATATCAACAATTAACTATAAGATAATCACAATTAAGATCGTGAAAACCAAAAAAACTTTCACTTAAACTGTTAAAATGAGAAACTTAATTGTCTATCAATACTTTTAATCATTTCCAAATTTTCTCGCTCTTGATAAAGTTAATCACTAAATAGATGCTTTTTTTTACAACAATCAACAGAGACAATTGATCATCAACAATTAGACTAACTACCAATTAACGAAAATTAAGTTAAATTCATTCATTATCACTAATGAAGGTTAAATTGTTGACAATTTACTTAGATGATTAACTTTTTTTCCCTAACCACCAATGGTTATCAATTCATCCCTTTAATTGTACAAACTAATATTCTGATAGTCTGATCAACAATCAATTTAATTAATCTCGATGTTTGAAACTGTTAATTACTGTTAAATTAAAAAATGATCCACTAATTGTCTTTCTAATTATGAACAATTAACTAGATGAGTTTTCACTTTACAACTTAAATTGACAATTTCATTGTAGTTATTGATTTATGATTAGTGATTAAAATTAGATTGATAATAATATGATTAAACAGGCGTTTAGTTTCAATTTGATTGCGACCAACAATTTATATTATGTCAATATGACACATATTCAATATAAACAATTAATATTAATCATCAGTAATTTTATTGATAATAAAAAGTTAATAATAATAAGCTGGAATAGCTAATTGCGGAAATTGATTGTTACAGTTAGTTAATAATTTATATATTGTCTGTCCATTTATATGAGTCTGTAAATGAGTAGCAATTTGTTTCCTATTGATTAAATGATTAGTTTAATTGTCAAAAATTAATGATTAAGAGCTGCTGGTAGACAAGGGAAAAAATTAGTCACAGCTTTTCAAGTGACAACAATCAACGATAACAATTAATAATTAACGTATCATATAATATAAGTGCATCAGTTAATAGCAATTAAATTTAATCACCAACAATATAACAAACAAACAGATTTAATCATTCCAAATTAAATAGATTAACTTAATCATCTTAATAATGAAAATAAATTACTTTGAATTGTTGATCAGAAAATTAAAAAAAAAATGTAATCAAAATTTTCCCGGGAAAAAATTTCCCGCCTTTTAATTTATTTGAATTGAGAGCTTGACCTTTGGTCAGGCTGTTTGTGTATCAATAATTAAATGTTATGAATCAATTTGTAAATGTTGACCACACACATATTAGAGTAAATTTGATTGATTGGATTAAATTGTTCTAATATCAATTTCAAATGAAATTAACCTTCACAATTATTTCACTAATCAATTGAAGTTGATAATCAACTGACCATCAAAGTTGATTAACTGTGAAATCGGTCAGTTGTTTATACCTTACAGGTCAGTGGTCTATACAATTAGGGAACAATTTACTAGGATTCTAATTACAATTAACAAGGTTTGCGACTTGATTGTTTCATCAGTGGTACTTAATTGTAGCGGTTAATTGTACCATCGGGTATGCAAATGAAGCGAGTGTCCAGTTACTGTCCGGTAATGTCCAAGAGGTGGGAAAATGTGATGAAGATGAGGAAATTAAAATGAAAAATTTTCTTATCAAAATCAAAGTTTTTTTTTTACTTAAATTGTTAATCCAAATCACTACGATGATACAAATAATATCCTTGATTAACTTTAATCAATTACCATCACAACCAGAATAATTAATCAAGGATGTAATAAATTGTTGGACCTTTAATATTGGTAGTTAACTTTTTTTTTAAATTTAATTCCTTTCTGTTAATTGTGATTAAATAACAAGATTTTAAAGATCCTGTTCCAATCTGATTAACTTTAGATTAACCGTTAATTTTAATTAATCCTTTTTACCAGATTAATTTTGTAGGTTAATTTTGAGAATCAAAATTTTGATTGTGATAATTTTCAGGCCAGTTAATTGCTGGTAATGATGATGATGTTAATTTAATTATCATCTAAATTGTCAACAAAAACCATCAAATATCAAACAAATATTAACATGAAAATAGTAAAGTTGAAATTTTAAGTTTTTGTAATATTTTCTTACTTGTTGATTGTAATGATTAAGATGATTTTTCCAATTGATTAATTGAAACTGGTTTAGTTTTAATCAACATGAAGATGATTATAATCACTGGTTAAACCTGTTAGGTTACAGTTTACAATTAGGATTTTAACCTGGACCCAATCAAGTTAATCTAATCCAATGTTAAACCATGAAAATCTTAATTCAGTTTGATTAAGGGTCAGGTTAATGAAGATGATGATCATCATCAGTGGTTAACAGTTAACAACAATTAAGTATTTATATATCACTAAATTAACAACTGAATCAATTTTCATGTGTGTAAGTTTAACTAATTGTTTTCTTAATTATCTTCCAATCTCTCTCTCTGTGATTAATAACAATATATTAATATTTCCAAAACAATTAATCAAATCGGATTAAAATCGCAATTTAATGAATCTAATTACACCTTTAAGTTTGTTCATTTTTACCTTTAAATTAGGTAAGTAAATTAAACAGAAAATGTTTTAATCAATTAATCATTTTAATTTTTGTCAATTAACAACAATCCAAGGAAAGACAATTAGTTAATTGTGTTGTACCTCTTTCTTTTTTTTTGAATTACAATTAAATTTAATATACAACAGTTGTAGTTATTAATCAAATTACCTTGAACTTGATCAAGTGTTACAAACGTTGATTGTGTTGATAATGATTAAACTAAATTAAAAGTCCAATGGCTTTGATGGTGATCAAGGTTTTTTTTTGTTGTTCATGGTTAATTTAAGCAAACAAAAAGTAATCAAAGTTAATTACCAAACTGATTATTAGCTAATTATTACAGTTCTAATAGACCAATGATAAAATTTTCCAACCTTGATTGTTATTGAACACGAACAAAAATTAGGACTTTGATACAGTTAATTGTTGTAACTTAGCAATAGACATAATCATCATCAAGTTAGTGTTAAAACATTGAGAGACAAAGTAAACTTGAAATTAGTAATTAACGATTACAATTTAAATTATAATTCTTGATAGGATGATGATGGAGGATGAGGATGATGATGAACGGAAATAGATAAAAAAAAAGACTCTTTTTTCATTCCATTTCCGTTGGGAACTTTTTTCGTTCATAGATATTGATCAGTAAAGTCCATTCGTTATGCTGACTTAGTGTCATCTCAATGACACATTTTCATCATCTCTCTCTCTCTCTCTCTCTCTCTCTCTCTCTCTCTCTTCCATGATGATAATTAACATGATTCATTCATTTTGTTGATTTTTCCCCTTCTCATCTTAATGCAAATTGCTGATTAGGTTCAACTTTCCCTGTGAATGATGATAAACTCAATCCATTGGTTGATGATGAGTATCCAATGGTTATCAGGAATGATAGGATTTCCGGTCACAGTGGGAGGATGAGGATGATGATGATGACTTATAGTGATGATAATAAGTCACTGGACGATGAAATTCAAGTGACCACCACATCATCACCATCACAACCACAACCAGCAACAACAGTAATCATATCCAATCAGGATGAGATTCAATTAACTTCAACAGAATCATCATTGATTACTATTGGTACTGATGGTGATTTTAAACTGGGTCAATCACCAATTAATTTTACTGATAATGTTAAACCTAATCAATATCATAATCAATTACCTGATAATTTAAATGATAATTTAACTAATGATCAATCATTAAGCCCGTTAAATGTTACTAATCAAGTTATAAATGATTTGGAATCATCATCAAAATCAATTGAAGTAAATGAAATTAATAATCAAAATGTATCTCCATCAACAACAGTTTCCTCAACAATTAATCAAATTACAAGCAAGATTAACTTACCTTCATCATCATCAGCTGAGACCTCGGATTTACCTGAGATTAACCTTTCAACCACAACCACAACACAATCAACAACAACAACAACTCAATCATTTCAGGATAAAGTTAATTCACTAATTGAAGATTCATTTGCTCAGACAACTAAATTATTAATCGATCTGGAAGAGCAGATTAAACTGAATCAATTCAGTCAACAAACTGAACCTAATCTCCTTCCACTCAATATATTCACCTCAGCCCATGGATTAGCATCTTCATCCTCATCCTCATCACCTTCAATCCCTTTAGCTTATGCACTTAAATTGTCAACCTCAAATTTTTTATTCCGACCGTTAATCCGAGGTAGTTCAATTGTCTCAGGCTCAGTTAATTTTCACCATAATGATGATTTAAAATCATTAACTGATCCAGATAATCTTAACCTTGGTTCAGTTAACTATGAGACAATTGATGAAAATGGTAATCCAGATAATCCTAATAGCATAATTAACCATAATAATCCCCATTGGTACGGTAATCAGAAACAAAGTGGAATCCAAATGCAATCAATGATTGATGAAGTAACAAGAATCGAGCAAAATGTTGAGGTAAGAATGATAGAAAATTTTAACAGCTAATTAACTAATTGACTATTTAAATTTACGATAAAACAATTAACAACCATAACCGTTAATCTAACGGTAATTGATAACAATTAACCGCAAAGGTAATTTGTTTGACCCTCCAACTTCAAATGTAAAGGCTTTTGTGATTATAATCACAACAGATTGAAGATTAACAAAGCAACAATTTAGTTTAACAATTAATAATAATACAACAAGATTAACCAACGCCCATGTAACAATTAACAGTCGACAATTATCATTAACAGCAATTAAACAAAACAAAGTTTTCAATTTAAAAGCGACGCTTGAGTAATTTTGATTACTGTCCATTCATAATAATATTTTGTATCTGCTAATCAGAGTCAATTAGCTTTAGGTCAGATTAATAGTTAATTACAACTAATTAAACTCTTGTTTTTATTAATTGTTATGCTTATTGTAAATGAAAATCACTCTCTCATTCAATTCACTTTCTTATTACTTCCTCTTTCGTCCATTCAATGGTCATTTCCCTCTGGTCATCCTTGGTTAGGTTCTCATATCAGAGTTGGTCTCGAATCGCCGTTACGTTACAGCGGCCGTTTTCCGTTCATTACTTAACTACCTAAGGTAAGATTCTTGGACATCATTATCATCATCATCATCTTAATCTCCATCATCATCTTCATCTTAACATAGAAAAAAACTAGTTTTTCTCTTCCTTAGATATTAATGATGATGAGCTACCGGATATCTCTCTCTCTCTCTCTTTTCTTCCTCTTAAATGATGAATGATGATGATGATGATAATAAGGTCACTTTTCCGTGTCGTCAAGAAAAAGTGATCTCTCATTAATTATCATTCTGTTACCACAATATATAAACACCAAATACTATCAATGGATTAATGAAAAATTACCTGAATGAAAAACACTAGAATAATCAACAGAAACAATTTAAATTGTCCTTCTAATAAAAACGATAGTTACTTTAACGATAATATGATTGGTGTACAGAGTTAGCGAAAGAATAAAAAAAAAGTTTCTAAATTACTGACAATTCCCATTTGGTTGAACACCTCAAGCGTAAATCACAATCAAGAAATACACTAGTAGTAAATGATACTAATCATAACCATAGAGATAATAATAATACTAATAATATCTTAATATCAAATTACAAGTTGATTGTTGTCACCTTAACTACGAGGTGGTGAGTATCATCAACAAGAGAGCCAACACCAGCCAGAATCACAATCACCCAAATTTAAATTGTTGTTCACCCAAAAAAAATGATCATCAACACTTAATCATAATAGTAATCAGGATAATAATGATCATCATTAAATTACAGAGTGATAATAAATGTAATAACATGTTGATTATATTAGTTTACAATATTATCAGAATGATTTAATGATGATTGTGTTATTATTATCAATCAAAAAGTCATCAAGAAGCTTGAAATTGAGCAACAAGATGATTAACTTAATGATTAACCTTTAACCCGGAGTTTTGTTTGTTTATTTGATGTTTTTGAGGTCCAATAATTGATGATGATGATGATGATGAGGATGCTGATAATCAGCATCTAATTAACTTTTATTATCATGATTATTACTCTGAGAGAAAGTTAAAAGTTTGTCTTTTTTATGATTGACCTTTCAACTTGAGAGGGAAAATTGTACCTTTGTTTTTTTTACGACATTTCTGTTTCTATTTTGTTTATTTTCATTCATATCATGTCATTTGACCTTTAGCCGATCTCTGGTCATTAATCATTTGAGATGATTGTCCGGCTAATAATAAAGGTGATCTAATGAATACTGACCTTTGTCCATTTCTTTTGTTTTGAAAATGTATTAGACGATTAAGGATAAGCCTTGAACGATTGCAAAGTCGTATGGCCATTATTGGAGTGGGAAATTCACCTCAGGGGTCATCACTGGGCGGAAGTATCTCCAGTGGAATATCATCTTCCGTCTCCTCCATTGCCTCATCAGTTTCGTCAACTTTCCTACCCGAACAAGCTTCCGGTCCACTAGGTGGTTCTTCCGGTGGCTTTAATCCGATCACCAGTGGTTCAGCAATCGCTTCAACTTATATTGAATCAATTCGAGTTCGAATGAATCGAATAACCGAAGAAATTAGAACCTTAATCACTCGAATGAGATCATCATTCTCTTCAACTTCTTCTTCTTCCTCTTCATCACCAACACTCTCATCATCTTTATCACCTTTACCATCATTAGATCAATTTCCACCCTTGAAAACAACAACAACAACAACAACAACTACAACGAAATCACCTTTAGCATCCTCATCATCAATCTTAGGTTCATCCAGTAGAAAGTCAATCTATTACTTTAAATGAATGGTGACAATTAACTCAATCACCATCATCACCTACCACTAATTAACTTATTAACTTTTATTTAATAACTTTTATCCCAACGATAAGCAAAAATTGAAGAAACTGATTAACACAATTAACTTATTATTATCATTTACATTATAATCCAAGTCTCTTACTAAATTAGTAATATAATCATATAAATATATTATTATTATTATTATTATAAATAAAGTCAAAAATAAAAGGTCAACAACTGACAATCAATTAACTTATACACAGTTAATTAACCTTTAATTAGTATAATATTTATTTTTTTTATACAGTTAATTACCTAACGATGTGTGATATTAGTACAGTTGACAATTTATTATTCATTGTAATCATTATCACTCCTCTCAATCACCTACTACAATTACTGTGTTTGTATTTGTCACCTTAATTACAATCATCTCACCCATGCCATCAGTAAATAATATTACCAAAAAAAGAAGAAAAAAAAACTCAATCAACAACAATAATTATCCAATTACAATATAATTATAATTTCCATCACAACTAATATAATATTCATCTAAATGGAACAATTAAAAAAGAAACATTCGAAAATCAACCCAGATGATTGGATACAATAATCTGCATCTAATTTAGATGAATCGAAGAGATTGAAAAAAAAGAAAAAAGAAAATGAAACAACAACGAAGAGTAAAAGAAAAAAATTCGAAAACTTTTTTTTCTCTCTACTAGATGGCGTTGGAAGTTCGTAACTTTACACAACCAAGTTAAAAGTTTTTCCATTTATTCTGATGAAATGTTTTTCCATTTAATTTTATTACGTCTTCAATTTTTTTCCTTTTTTTTCTTCCATCATTATAACCATAAAATTTTTCTTCTTCTACTTTCTCTTTCTTTTCTTTCTTTCAATTGGTAGAAAGATGAATAACACATATTCATACAGATGATGTTGCAGGATGTGGGCCTGGTTTGACCTTGAGAAATGAAACACACGAAAACCAGTTGAAGAGGAGACAACGAAGAGAGAGAGAGAGAGAGAGAGAGAGAGAATATCAAAGCGACTTTATCATCATGATGATAATGGAAAAGGAAAAAAAGAGCTAGTAACGGTGAATAAACTTTCGAAGGTAGTTTCGATGTCGACTGGTTTTACTTTATCATAATTATTTCATGATAGAATTTTCTCTTTCTCTGATTAGCTTTTCTCTCTTTTTTTTTGTTCTTTCTCTCTAATTCTTACCCCACTGAACATCATTCTCAGAATCTGAATCTAAATCTCTCTCTCTCTCCCTCTCTTTCACCATGTTAGTATAATAATCAACTACAATAAACTTGGTGAAAACAACAAATGAACTGCAACCAAACCTTTTTTATCATCAATTTTGTTACTTTTTCTCTTCTTACCTTTACCTGAGTAACTTTTTCTGATTAGTATGAATCGTAGGATCGTGTCATATGTATGAAATCATCATGATTTGATTTTTGAATCCTCTTGAGTAAATCCTAGAATCATGGAAACATGTAAAGAATAAAGAAAACCAAAAATAAAGGTAAACTGGTTAATAGATGAAATCAGATTGATTTGATTATTAGGAAGATTTTCTTGTTATTGGAAATGTTTTTTTTTATCTTTTTAGATTTTTTTCCATCTTCTTGTTTGTAACAATTGGGATAAAGGTAGAAAATAAAAGATGAGGAGACGATTCTGTTACGATGATTATGATGAGATATGATAAAAAAAAGGTAGACAAGTAAAAGAAGAGAAAGAAAGATAAAAAGAAAGAGATGATAAATCTTGTTTTTAGGTCTTAACGATCATCACAGACAAAATATTGACCTTGAAAGTTGTATAACCATGAATGATGTTCATTGTAGCTCTTTATTCAAACTCATGTTGAAGATTTTCATTTAACCGCCATTTCAACTTCATTTTTTCACTTCTCTTCTTAATCTTCATCATCATAATCATTACATTAAGTACAAATATTATTATTATCTTGCCCTTTCTCTCTCTCTCTCTTGTTTTTATTTATTCCATTGGAGGTACATCATCATCATCATCATCTTAGATTGGTTGACCTACTTTTTTCCCTCTCTTTCTGTTTCCAATGATTTGTTTCTCTCTAGTCAATAAACTGGAAACAGAGATGATGATGATGAGAAACAAGGATGAAGATGAAGTCCTTTGAAGGTAAAAAGTTAAAGGTAATGATAGAATTGATAATCATGATTGAACCAGAAAACGAAAATGATTATAAAAGTTTCTTCAGCTTAAAATGAGACATATTAATCTGAAGGTAAGTTATGATTCCATCATGTTAATCAGTTTACCTTGTATTCAGTTCAGGAAAACTAATAATTTGGCAACAAGTTGTCATGTGAACAAGAGATAATAATAAAGTGTGAAAGAGAAATGAAAAAAAAAGATAGACAGAAAAAAAGAAAGAGTTTAAATACGCAAAGACCATCATCATCATCATCATCATCATCATCTTCGTCAGCATCATCATCATTCTGGCGGGAAATGTCTTCGTTCGTGTTCAAGGTTTTCCTTTGATATTAGAATGAAAAATCATATGATTTACCAAAAAAAGTGAACATTTTTTTTTCTTCTCCCTCTTCCAACTAATACATTAACCATTATCATTAACTAATAGTTAATAATATAATTCTCAATGTTTCCAGTTAATTCTGTTGGTGTTTTAATTATAATTGCTTCACTGATAAACCATTTGAAACCCTGAAGCCTTTTTAACGATAAATGATAATAATGATCAACAGGTAACCAGAAAAAAAAAGAAAATTCAATTTTCTCAACTTGAAAGTTTCCAATGTTTACCAATCGATCATCGATCATCGATCCTTTTTCTTAAAAAGCAAAACTTGCAAATCGAATTTAAAAATATCGCAATTAAATCAACTATCCTCATCTCTTTAATTAATTTTCTCTCATCTTGTTATCATGATAATACACGCAACAAATAATGATGAAGATGAAGACGATCAACTTGAAACTTTGTGTTTCTTTCTCAGGGTTGATATTCACCTGAATAGACATTGAATCAGCAGAAAACAGGTAAACTTTTTTGCAAATCAAACTTTGTCTTGGTAATAATAAGATTAGGAACTGAATTAATTTGATGATTAAACAGTCTCCATCATCTTAATCATCATCAGCTATCATCCTAATCATTTGTGTGTGTTTGTTGTTGTCGCTATCAAATCTTATAATCTTGGTTTCTATTTACCTTGTTTACCTTTTTGTTTGTTTTTAGATTCATCATCGTCATCATCATCATCATCTTCATCTTCATCTTCAACTTCAACTTCATCATCTTAATCATCATGATTATATATCTTCTTAATTCCTTACCTCTTATCATCATCATTAACCATTGAGATAACAATTTGTTAATTATCTTTCTGTATATATAATATTTGAAACAAAGAAAGCGACAAATCCAATGATCATTAATGATACTAAGCTTACACATTAATCTAATTGTAACAATAATTTAATTTTCTCTAATAATTTATTAGAAATTAATCTTATATATATATTCATTCATTAATTGTCACTTAATTAATTAATAGAGTTTAAATATTATCGAGACTTGTTGTTCATGGTTACTAAATGAATGATCAGAATCTGAAGAGAAAAATTTTTCCCCAAAACTTTTTTACTTTTCAGTTTCGTTGGGACGAAGATTACTCATGATGATAGTAAAGATGATGATGAGGATGATGAAGATGATGATGGTGATGATAATTTGCTGGAAAAAAAGTTACATGAATCATGATAACAAATGAATTTTTCACATGAGAAAGAAACAATTTCTGTTCCCAGAAATGAGAGTCAAGACTATGGAGATTCAGTTGTATTGAGAGGAAGAGGATGAAGATGATGAGGATGAAGATGATGAGAGAGAAAAAGAGAGAGAGAGACAAAAACAAAGCCATATTCATCATCTCATCATCTTGTGAAGATGAAGATATCATCATCATCATCATCAAGCAAAAGTCTAAAGATAATTATCTTCATCTCAACAAGATGAAAGTTAATTGTGTGTCCTGATTATAATAATAAGTTAATCAACATCACCGATCAGTTGATTAATAAATTGAATCTTAATTCATTAAAAAAGGCCGATCATCTTAATCATATTTATTGATTGTTATAATAATTAACAACCGAGATAAAAAAAAAATCCTAATTAACTTTATTCATCTAAATTATTAAAGATCCCAATGGTAATTAAATACACACAGTTGATATATTATAATAAATAAAAGCATAAAAGTTAATCAACGAAAAGAAGAGGAAAAAAAAATTAATAAATTGTAATCAACGTTCAACATTCAATTAATTGTAACCAACTTTTTTTCTGGATTCTCAATGAAAATTAATATTTCTTCAAATGCTCAATAACAATTAATCAATTCTATTAATCTTAATCTCATATGATGATTGAATATGATTTCAGATTAGTGTGGGAAACAAATCAGGTGTAATCAATTAAATCCTCAGTGATGATTAATCTCACAATTATGATGATTATAATTACTATGAAACCAGGAAGGAGAAAGAAAGAGAAACAGAGAGAGAGAGAGAGAGAGAGAGAGAGAGAGAGAGAGTTTAATTGTTAAGTATTTTAATTGCTTTTGATAATCAACAAACAATAAACAAATACTAGTAACGAGGAGGAAAAGGTTAGAGTAAAAAAAAAGTTATCATGAACATGATAACTCATGAAAGAACTGAATTAAATGTCTGGCTTCTGATGAGGATAATGATTAGGGTGATAAAGTTACTACACAAATCCCTTTGTATAATCCACCCTGTGTAATATTAACACCCACTTCCTCTTAGTACACTCAGACTTTGGCAGATCTTGATCAACACATGAACACCAAGAGTTACAAGCGTCTGAGAATTTATTATCATCGAGTATTAACTTGTTGGTGTTTGTTGATATTTCTTGGCGGATTAACAGAAATTCATCATCTCCCTGATAATTTACATCATCATCGTGTAAACATCATTACATTGGGGAAAAGAAGAAGATGAAGAGAGAGAGAGAGAGAGAAAGGAGATAATAGAAAATGAACTGATTCGAGAAAGAAAAAGGAGAGAAAAAAAAGTTCGATTTCCTCCCTTTTGGATACAATTCAATCTTAATCCACCAAGGGAACTTATTTTATCCTTTACACACTCGATGATGATAATTTCAAGTCAACGATAATTTATCAGCCTCATCATCA